CACAGCCAAAACCACGAGAGACGGTGACGGTCCGGGGAGGCCTTTACCCAGCGGTGGATTGGCCATGGCTCATGATGATGATCACTTTGAGCAACCTCTTAGGGACGGAACCCTGAGCTGGTGCGCAGGCTTCGGCTGAGAATGCCTCAATCATCACGCGTCGTTCGTTAAACACTGCCTCAAACGAGCAACGTAATATCTGTGCGTGCGCTGTTCCGGCAGACACTCAGACGGGGGGCAGGGCTGGGCGTGTGAAATATTCGTCTCTTATCCGCGGTTGGTCGTCCTCCTAAATTATCGTCAGTCACAAGCGCGCGCATACACCGTCGCTCGATCGCTTGCTTTGTGAACGCTTCGGCGATCGAGCACTACGAAGAGCAACGCGTCGTACGATTTGATGTCACGTGGCGCGCGGCGTGTACACGTGGACAGGGCGCCGCACGCAGTTGAGTGGCCACGCTTCTTGTGTGGAGAGCGAGGGGGCAAGCCGCTCGTCGTCAGCGGAAAACCGGTAGAGGTCTTCCGACAAATGGCAAGGCGAATATAATATGAATGAAATGATATGAATATATAAATATATAAATGAACATTTGGAAGGTCTTGCGACAAATAACAAGGAGAATTAAATATAAATGAACTCTCTTTCCTTATTTTAGCCGAGTGGCCTACTTTCCCCACTCGAGTTGGAGCTTTCCATTTAAAACTATTTTACAATCATTATTTTTTTTCCAGCTAAGGCCCCCTCTGAGCTACGTAGCTCCTTTTCAGAAGCGCCCTGCCCACAAATGATCGCTCAACGAAGTGGCTCGTCGCGTTGACATGTACAGCAGCCAAATGCTCGAAACGCAAGTATCTAAATGTGGAGGGAAATACCGGAGGACCCGGATAAAAAAAATCCACGCGACCACGGGGAGAGAGAGAGACATGCAAACTACAAACATACAGCTGGGCGTCCGGCAGTGGGATCGAACACACTTCCTCCTGCATACCAGGCGAGGGAGTTAATATCTCGCCACTACGGCGCCCACTTTCTACTCAACCTGATGTTTAGAAGAAAAAAAAATCACAGAGCGGTGGCTGAAAAGCCCCGAGATGAGTTTATAACCGCGTATAGAGTTTGAGAAGCCCTTTGATGGCGAGATGGTGTTCTATTTCTGGGTCAACGGTCGGCGATGTGAGTGATGGAATGCACTTCGCAGAGAGACTCTCACACACACAGACTCGCACAGAGACCAATCGACCCGCACAGAGAACCAGAGACACGCACAGATATCCATAGGCTCGCATGGAGACCTGCAGACACACACACACGCACGCACAGACTCGCATTGAGACATGTCCACCCACACAAAGACTCAAAAGACACGCACAGAGACTCGTACATAGAACCACACAGAGACCCGTAGACTAAAACAAGAGACACAGAGACTCGTACAGAGATTCCATAGACTCACATAGAGACCGACACACACACACACACCGACTCGCATTGAGACCCGTCGCCCCACACATAAACTCAATGGACTCGCACAGGGACTCATACATAGAATCACACAGAGACCCATAGACTAAAACAAGGGACCCAGAGACTCGCACAGAGATTCCATAGACTCATGCAAGAGACCCATAGGCTCACAATGAGACCCCGTTCTTGACTGTATACAATGCAACGCGAGATGTTAAGTCATAGGGAGGAGGAAGGCAGGTAGTTGCTTGATTGGATTGTGGACCTTGCTTCTTGACATCCATTGCTCGTCAAGGTCACGTGGGGCGGACCCCTGGGCTCCCGAGCAGCCCCACTCATTTTCCCACGCATCGGCGCTCCCGTCGCTTCCGTTTCTCGCTGCCGGGGGTGGTGGTGGGGGGGGGGGGGAGGGAGATGGAGGGGGGGGTTAGGGGGATTTATTTATGCGTTTTAGTTTGTGCAAAAGAAGAAGCTGAATAATTTAATTCCGTTATATTTGTGGGGCAAGAAATCCAATGAATCGCAAAGCGAATACGGAGACTCCACTATTTACAAACGAGTTAGGTTCCAGAGGTCTGTTCGTAAGTCGAATTGTTCGCAAGTCCAACTTTACTCTCGTCGATTCCAAGCATGTTGTATGGCATATGCGCTAAACAGGGGGCGAATGGCTTTAAAAGGAGTGTCATCTCCAGTAGATGTAGATGCCCATGGTTTTTCACGTTATGTAGATGTGGATGCCACTGGTTCTTCATGTTCTGCAGATGTAGATGTCACTGGTTCTTCATGTTCTGCAGATGTAGATGCCACCGGTTCTTTAAATTCTGCAGATGTAGATGCTACTGGTTCTTCATGTTCTTCAGATGTAGATGCCACCGGTTATTCATGTTCTGCAGATGTAGATGCCACCGATTCTTTATGTTCTACAGATGTAGATGCCATTGGTTATTCACGTTCTGCAGATGTAGATGCAACTGGTTATTCACGTTCTGAGATGTAGATGCCACTGGTTATTTACGTTCTGCAGATGTAGATGCCACTGGTTATTGACGTTCTGCAAATGTAGATGCCACTGGTTCTTCACGTTCTGTAGATGTAGATGCCATTGGTTCTTCACGTTCTGTAGATGTAGATGCCACTGGTTCTTCACGTTCTGTAGATGTAGATGCCACTGGTTATTCACGTTCTGTAGATGTAGATGCCACTGGTTCTTCACGTTCTGTAGATGTAGATGCCACTGGTTATTCACGTTCTGTAGATGTAGATGCCACTGGTTATTCACGTTCTGTAGATGTAGATGCCACTGGTTCTTCACGTTCTGTAGATGTACATGCCACTGGTTCTTCCCGTTCTGCAGATATAGATGCCACTGGTTATTCACGTTCTGCAGATGTAGATGCCACTGGTTCTTCACGTTCTGCAGTTGTAGATGCCATTGGTTCTTCACGTTCTGTAGATGTAGATGCCACTGGTTCTTCACGTTCTGTAGATGTAGATGCCACTGGTTATTCACGTTCTGTAGATGTAGATGCCACTGGTTCTTCACGTTCTGTAGATGTAGATGCCACTGGTTATTCACGTTCTGTAGATGTAGATGCCGCTGGTTATTCACGTTCTGTAGATGTAGATGCCACTGGTTCTTCACGTTCTGTAGATGTACATGCCACTGGTTCTTCCCGTTCTGCAGATATAGATGCCACTGGTTATTCACGTTCTGCAGATGTAGATGCCACTGGTTCTTCACGTTCTGCAGATGTAGATGCTACCGCCGCCGTCTGATTGCGCGGCGGTTGAACTTACGACTCTCGGTCCAAACAAGCAACTGGACGTAGGGGACATGTTTGTTCGTATCTCTGAAAAATTGTAAGTCGAATGTTCGTAAGTAGAGGAGTCCCTGTCCAGTGTTTGGTGCAATTTACGTTTTAGTTTTTGTTACTCAAATGCACGCGGTTTGTTTGGTTGTGAAAAAATCGAGAGGATGGATCGAATGCGCAGCGTGGCTGCGAAACCGCGTGCGCCCTGCGCGCCTGCGATGTAGAAACGCCGCCGTCTCTGCGCTTCCGTGCAAATGCATTTGGGACGCAGCGAGTCTCGGGTTAAGTCGGAAGAAGCCACGTGCAATCGATTCCATCCAGTCACGGACAGTTAACAATTCTGCACAAACTATAAGTGTGTTATGCATAATCGAGGTTTTTTTTGTTAATGGCTTAGATCGCGTAAATGTGGTGTTAAACCTGCGACCGCAAGTGTGTTAATCACGTCACACGTTACCGACCAGTGGTCGCCCATTAAATATGTCTACGTAACTCAGCTTAAGCCTGCCGTAAACCACGTGACTCCCGCGTGGCCACCCTGCTCTGAATCCCTCCCCTGCCATCTGTAGATCTCTAGCTCGTTATCTAACTCGGCTCAAGCCTCCCGTAAACCATGCGACTCCCGCGCGGCCACCCCTGCTCTGAATCCCTCCCCTGCCATCTGTAGATCTCTAGCTCGCTATCTAACTCAGCTCAAGCCTGCCGTAAATCACGTGACTCCCGCGTGGCCACCCCCATGCTGAACTCCTCCCCTCTCCCCGCTGTCCCATGTGAAGACCGACGTGGCTTCGTGCAGCAGCAATGGCAGCAGCAGCGTCGAGGCCCTCTTCCTCATCATTTCTCTGTGCCCTTCCTCTTATTTGCCATTCACTTCTCTCTTCCCTTTCTCGTTCCTTTCTCTTTTTCCCATGCACTACGTATGTATGTCGGTACGTTGAACTTCTGTCGCACCGTACGTAAGCAACCGCGCTAATTGGAGGTGCGGGGGAAGGACAACAAAACTAAACACAAAAAGCAGTTCTAAAGAAATGAGTTTTCAATCCAGATGGTTTTTAAAGAGCGTAGTTCTCGTGGGTTCTTTATATCGGCTTGAAGAGCATTCCAGACAGCCGCAGAAGCGCATCTGAAAGTGCGCGATGCTGTGACCGTCTTTGTTCGATGGCCAGCCAAAAGCCGCCGCTTGACGAGATAAGCAAAAGGTATTGTGGTTCAGTTGTGACAAGCAATCCTTGACTCGACTCCCAATGGTGCGTGCCATGGGTACAACAGTTTTTGCTGGAAGAATAAATCCTTCTTGGAAAAAAACAGCAATTTACACAACCAAGAAGAGCAATTTTATTTGAGTAAGCCCGGTTATGAATCAGCCAAGATGGGACAATGAGATCAGCTCACGAATGATGTTGTGGGACAGTGGGGAGTGGCGAAAGCATAGTGGCCGCTTCAACCAGCCCTGGATAGAGCACGCCCCATGACGATGATTATATGCTAAATGTTACATTTAAGCTGTTGGAGCGCATTAGGGACTTTACAGGGCAGACGGAAAAATATATTTATAAATGAACGAGACAAAAATAACTTTCTTTCATAGAATTATGAACCCCCCCCCCCCACAATTTTGGTGGCAAATCATCAAATCGCTTGTGGTGGGGGTGAATTATTAATTACATGCCTAATTAATGCTGTTGCTTGTGTGCCCCCCCTGCCCCCCCCACCGCCCTCCCCAGTGCGCTAGTGGAGCGTAGCTGGCGCGCAGGCCATGTGCACCTCGTCATGCTCCGCCGTGTCAAGCGTAGGGCGCCATCGCCACCTTCCCCGAGCCGGGCCAACCCTGCCGCGGCCGTCGCCACGCACGTCGCCACCTCGGCCGCCATCTCCGATCCCGCGCCCCGCCCTCTGGTGCCAACCTCCTCCTCGTCATCCTCCTCGTCGTCGTCCTCCTGCTCCTCACCGTCGTTGTCGTCATCGTCGTCGTCCGGCGAGGCCCGGCCCACGGGTTGCCGGACGCGCAAACTCGGCGTCTACTCACGCTCGTCCACGCCGCGCGACTCGCTCGAGAACGGCGTGACGCCGACGTCAACTGCGCCGTCGGCGCCGCGGCGCGGCGGCGGTGTTGACGCCGCTGATCAGAGAGACTCGGGCGTGTTCTGCCGCTCCGAGCTAGACCGCGGCGGTGGCAACGGCGGCAACGTTGGTGGCAGCGGTGGCTCCCGCCGATCGTCATTCGAGCCGGCCAATCCGGCGTCGTCGTCGTGGCTGTGGGGCAACGGCAGCGTCCGCGGGGACGGCGTCGCGGGCGGCGCCCTCGTGGACGGTCCCCGGGCCGTCGGCGCCCCGCGACGGCCCGGCTCGGCGACGGACGCCGAGGCGAGGCCGCCGCTGGCGTCGCAGCGGGGCGTGTCCCACGGAGCGAGCGACGACCTCGGGGCATCGCTCGTCTTGCAGGTGCTCTTCACGCGTCTGTTTGCCTGCGGCCGCGTGCGCTTCCTTTGTTTCGCCGTACAGAGCGATAGTTTTGAAGGATGCCCCCCCCACTCCCCGCGAGAATCGACGTAAATGATCAGCGGACGGCCTATTGATCTGCCGAATGTTTGAGCAAACTGCCTCTCCACCAATAGGTTACGTTTATTCTGTTTAGCCAGGTGAGAACTCTAGAGACATTGGCAAGAGTGACCTGTGGGTGGGGGGGGGGGAATCACCAAAACGGCAAAAGCAAGAGCATAAACACTAAGCTCGGGCCCATCGTATCAAACAACTTTCACCGGATAACACCCTGGGCAATAGCGAAACTAAAACGAAATTGTGACAAAACACGTGAAACTTGTATTTATGTTTTGGTCCGTGCCATGGTGACGATGCTCATCCCCTTCGCAGACAGATCGGCAACCTGCATGCTCCGCTGCCTCCAACCGCTTAACAAAAAATAAACTCACTCTGCCCTATTGTGAAGAATCATCATTCGTAACAAATACGGGCATCATTATTATAAACAACATCATTATTTTTTTTATTTAAAGCTTTCGTGAATGCAGTAATTCATATTCTTAGCTCTTTCGGTAAAGTCACATTGAAGGGAAACAACAACCACAGTCTCAGCAACCACAGTCTCAGCAACCACAGTCTCAGCAACCACAGTCTCAGCAACCACGGTCTCAGCAACCACAGACTCAGCAACCACAGTCGCAGTACATAAAATCCGTGATCTGGTTCCATCTGTAAAAGATGCGATTCCGGACATACAGTACCCTGGTGTCTACAAACTAAGTTGCCTCTGTGGTAGTAGTTACATTGGAGAAACCAACGCCATGTCTCGGACCGCATTCGTGAACACAAAGCAGACCTTAAACACGGTAGGACCAACACCTCGGCCGTGGCAGATCATTGTTATAATTCAGTAGGCTCACATGACATTGACTTCTCCAAGACAGAGGTTCTTTGTAAGCCATCTGGCTACCATGAGAGATTCGTTCATGAGGCTATCCACATATACAAGCAAAGAGACAATTTCAACCGAGAAGATGGATTCTGGCTTAGCAATCATTGGAAGGATTTGATCAACCATTTCAGGTCTTAATTGATTGTTCACGCTTACGGTGGCTTTCAGACAGCACATATTAATTTTTCGTCTCCCCCCTCCTCTTTTCAGAACATAGATGGACTCGTCCTTCTAAATAAACTGCCCAATCGCTGCGCGTGGTGCTCACGTTTTTTTTATAAAAAAAAAATAAGTACACCGTTTAAAAAGAAACAAATGCAAACCGACACTTCTTTCAAATGTTTCTTGCCGTTGGTTTTTCACACCTGATGACGACCGTTTGTGTTATGGTCGAAACGTCGTGATAATTTTTATTGTTTTATATATTTTATTATTTTCTTGTTTCCCTTCAACGTGACTTTACCGAAAGAGCTAAGAATAGAACATCATTATTATCTGAGGAAAAGTATTATTACGCTGAGACAGACACGACTCCCAGGCTTGCCCATAGAACTGCATTAATGTTGCTTGTCCAAACCGGAATTTGTTGCCAATTAATTTCTCGAAGCCAAATTTAACGCGATGGGGTTTTAGTTTTTGCAAGGCGGAGACCATCAGCTCGGCACACTTTTTGACAACCACGGTTTAATCAACAGGCGTCCAAGGTCCCGGAGTTGAACCCAGGGTCTCAACAGCGCCGGCTCGGCGCCCTCTGACCCTGCACCCTGAGTCGCTCAGCTACCTCGAGCACAAATGACATTTAGAAATTCTGAATGAATAGTTTGGCATTTGGCTATTCTAGGTAACACAGCCGTAGGCTTGGAGGGTGCTTGTTGTGTCTGTGTGTGTGGGGAGCAGTAATGTAGCGGTAAGCGCGCTGCGCTACGAACCTGGCCACCCGGGTTCGATTCCCGCTCAGGGTCAACACCAGTGAGGATTATCTGAACCGGTCCTGGGCCTCCCCTAGGTCAACTCAGCCTCAAATGAGTACCTGGAGTGGTGTGTAAACATCGCGACTGGGAAGAGAAAGGTGGCCGAGCGTGGTGCTGACAACCCACCCCCTCGTGTGCCGTGCCGGCCTTCATCGCTTACTCGCGAACAGGTCTTGCCCCAACAGTCTGTTCAGGCTATACGGGTGATCTTTGTCTTTCTCTTTGGTGGGGAGGGGGGGGGGCGGTGTGTGAACGGGTGCTGATGGTGTTCTGAGAGTCATAACCAGAGGGGGGTGGGGGTTGGTAGGGGGGGGGGGCATTAATCCGAGCCCGTACCGAGGCTCCCGGGCTCGCGTGCGGCACAGAAAGTGGCCGGCGCGCAGTTGTCAACGTTGCCGTGGCGATAGAAAGCCAGCCGCTCTCCATCGGTCCGTCTCGCTCGTGTCCTCCGCTCCATCTCTCTCTCTCTCGCGCGCTCGCTCGTCTCCTTCTCTCACGCCTCGCATTCATGGCGGTTAATTATTTATTTACGTACCTGCGTCGCCGTGGTGACGGCGATTTTGAAATTAAGTCACGAACAGACGGTGGGATAGGGGGCAATTAAGCGTGGAGGCTGTTGAAATGAAAATATGGGTGGCGTCGCACTTGAGCCGGCGATGGGAAATTAAATTTAGACGCATTCAAAAGGTGCGCGTGTGTGCGTGTGTGTGCTTGCGTGTGTGTGCGTGCGTGTGTATGTGCGTGTGGGGCGGTAGCGTAGTGGTTAGCGCACTGCGCTACGAACCCCACGACACGAGTTCGATTTCCCGGACACTCGCCAACATCATCGGTATCTGAATTGACCCGGAGTAGGGGTGCGGTGGTCAACCTTCCCATGCCGTGTTGGTGTTGGGGGTTACGCGACCATACTTCACTGCACTGGTCAACGCGGCTTGGCGAATGGGGGATGTCGGGGGGGGGGAAGGGAGGACTCACCCGCCACTGATGTTAGCCGCGCCCGCGAATCAATCTCAGCTCACCTGGGGTTCATTGTGCTGTGTGCTAACCATTGTGTCACCGCTCCACCCTCGTACATTATTTCTGCACAATCCCTGCGGCACCGCCTGCAACGCACCGCAAATGTGAACAATAAAATCAAGTCTGGTAATAAAAAAAGCGCACACACACACACACAGACCAAGCTTGCATTGCCAAATGGGCGATGCCCAGGAGTAATTACCGCCTTTTGCAAGACGGTCGCAAATTTCAATCAGCTTTCTGAGTTGAGCCGCCTGAGTGACTCAGGAGTCTAATCCTGCAACGCTGAGACGCCGGGTTCACATCTGGATTCCGTACGCCCGTGACTTAAGCTGTGACAAGTTCACGGTGAGTCTCAGCCCAGTCGCTAAACACTACATTTAAATGACACGATCATAAACGGTAGTTTTTTTTTTCGCTTCGGTTGGCAACGTTTCACAGTTGAGAAGGAAGAACACCGGCCGTGATCGCCACGCAACCAACAATTGTGGATGCCACGGTGGCGAGATGTTAACTACCTCGCCTGGTATACAGGAGGGCCTGGGTTCGATCCCGACCCTGACGCCTGCTGCTGTATATTTGGGAGTTTTTGTGTTACTCCCATGTTCTACGGGTCCTCCGGTGTGTCCCTCCACACTCAGAAACGTGCATGCAGAGTATTTGGCTGCTATACATTTCCACGTGATAAGCCAGTTTATTGGGCTCTCATTTGTGGCCAGGTCGCTTCTGAAAAAAAGAGCTGTATAGCTCATTGGGTCTTATCTGGGAAAATAAAATAATTAGTAAAAAAATAGTTTCGTACTTTTCTGAAGCCAGGGCACGTGGAAGACTGTGTCCGGCGCCCTAAATGACGGCATTTCAGAAGTAGTCCTGTGACACCAGCGCGACCAACTACTCTTTTTGGCCACTCCGTGGGTCGTGCCTGAAGCCAGAAAACTTTCACGCCGAGGCAGATTTGGGGGGTGACGCTGCCGCAGCATCACCCCGAAAATCCCCGACAGAAGAGAGCGAGGACGTTTGGTAGATTTGGTTTAAAAACAAGCAAAAAATTATGAAACAATTAAGACGTTTTAGAGCAGCGCAGAGTCACAGTGGAGTTCTCTTTCCGTGGCGTGCACGCGCGTGTTCGCTCTGCAGTCTGGCGAGAGCCAGGTGTGGCGGCTGCACATGGTGAAGGGCCGCGAGGGGCTGGGCGTGCAGGTGAAGGGCGGCCACAGCTCACGCAGCGGAGGCCCCCACGGCCTCCTCGTCACGCACATCGACAAGGGCGGCGCCGCCGAGAGGTGAGAGCGCCGCGTCCCGCTCCGCCGCCCTCGCCTGACCCCGACCTCTCGCCCTCGACTTGACTTGGCATCCGGCGCGGCCTGCGTTTAACGGGCTGCGGAGCCGCTCGCGGTGAGCAGCCTACTTGCTGTACCGCCGCGCGCAGGCCATCCGCCGCCTGCCAAGGTGGCAAATTGCAGGCGAGCACGTCCGTCCTCCGCGTCACCGGTCGCCCGTGTTTTCTTCTTCATGCACCCACCGCCCAATCCCCACCGCCCCATCCCCACTGCCGCCCGCCGTGTCGCTGTGCGCAGGGACGGCCGCCTGCTCCCCGGCGACGAGCTGCTCATGATCAACGGGCGGCCGCTCGTGGGCCTCTCGCACCACGAGGCGGTGGCACTGCTGCGCTCCTCCTCGGGCACCGTGCAGCTCGTGGTGGCGCGCGAGTCCGGGACGGACGCCGCGATGCGGCCGGCCGCGATTCCGGAGGCGCCGCAGAACGACGTTTGCACCGCCGCAGCAACCGGCGCCGCAACCGGCACGACCCCAACTGCCGCCCCCGCCCGCCACGACTCGCGCGGCCGCCAACACCACCACCATCACCACCACCGCCACAACAGTCAGCGGAACCACAACCACCACAGCAACCACAGCCACCACCGGCAGCACGATCGCGGCGACGGCGAGGGCGCGAGCCCGGCGCACGACGCGGCGAGCGGCGCCGACGGCGCGGCGCGCGGAAGCGAGAAACGCCGCAAGGGTGACCACAAGCGGCGGAGGGCGCACAGGAAGGAGGCCCCCGCCGGCGCTCGGGACGATCGGCACGCCGACGCCGAGGCGGCGGATGGGGAGAGCCTCCCGGCGGCCGGTCGGACCGGCGCCGAGGCGGCGAACGGGGGCGGCGGAGCGGCGAGCGGAGCGGAGGACGGGCAGAGGGAGCACGAGGCGCTGCGCGGAGCCCAGCGGCGGAGCGCGAGGGGCGCGGTGGTGGTGGCGGAGGAGGAGCCGCAGCAGGGAAAGGTGAGACCTGGCAACCTGCTGCCGTGGCTTCCGGCGCTTCCCGTTGCCCCCGCTCAGGCGGCAGTCCTCGCTTGCCGGCCGACTCGGAGCGTTCACGTCGCAAAGTGTCATGACCGCCAGTGCTGTGGTGAATGGTCACAATTCATTTATTTAGAACTGCTTGTTGTTGTGTTTAGTTTGTGGTCCTTCCCCCGCACCTCCGATTAGTGCCGTTGGCTACGTACGGTGCGACAGAAGTTCACCATGCATACGTACAATTCAGGGTCAGGGTTTGAATTGACAATCGGCGGTTGTGTCCATGCGGTTGGTTGTACGGCCCGCCGAGTTTGTTCTGCTTTTGTCTATACTGCTGGTCTTATAGTATTTGTTTCGTTTGTAGTGTTTTATTTAGTTTTTCACGTCTGTTTTTTTTTGTTTTGTGTCAGTTGTACGTTTTCATTCATGGTGTCCGTCTCCTTCATTCTGCCTTCATTTGTTCTATTAGCCTAAAGGTAAGGTCAGCATATAATCTGCGTGAGTCGTAAACACTCGATTCTGAAACGCACCATTCATCACGGGCGTCATTATCAATTTTAATCGACGAATTGACGCGCGACTGTCAACGGAGTACAATCGTCGCAGCTGAATTCCGTTTACTGGGGATGGTCACTGAATTTAAAATTGTATGCACACGTATGTATGTATGTATGCATGTCGAACTTCTTTCGCACTGTACATAGTAGCCAACCGTGCAAATTTGAGGCGCTACTTGAAGGACAGCAATCTCAGCAACAAAAAATGAGAAACACACCTCGAGCGTTCGCGACCAGAAAAAAAATCTAAAAAACCCAAACCTCCGCCTGTCGCCGTGGCCGCAGGGCGATCCCGTCGCCACGAGGACTCCCGTGTCGCGCTCCTTCTCCGAGCAAGCGACGCGTGTCCACGAGCCGGGCCCCGGCCGCCCGCCGTGTCCTTCGACCTCCCAGCGGCCGCCCCGTGGCCCCGTGCCCGCGAGCCCCGCGGCCGCCCCGCTGCCGTCGCCGGGCTCGCTTCCCCGCGGGGGAAACGAGGAGAGCCGCAGTCCCTCGACGGCGGAGACGCAGGCCGGCAGGGGGGCGGCCGACGGCGCCAGACCCGCGGTGAGCGAGGGGGCTCAGGGTGACGTCGGGACGTGCCGTCGTCACGACCCCGACTGGGATTTGAACTGAGAACCTTCTGAGGGCGGGGTGCCACGATGCTCTAGCCACTGCGCCGCCCTGTTGGATGGCACAACATCTGTCATATTGGCGGCACGAGGCTTCCGAAACGTCGTTTGAAGGTTCCACGAAACTTTCCCCCTCGTGGGCAGAGCGGTGGCGCAGCAGTTGAGATGGGGACGTGCGCTCCGTGCGCTCGTCCCCATCTAACTCCGTGCCACGTTTTGATTTCTCCACCACCCCCTCCCCCCCCCCCCCCCCCCCCCCAGAGCGAGGGCGGGAAGGAGACGGGCGCTGGGGAGGGGCAAGCAATGGTGGTGGCACGCTCTCTCTCAAAACCTCGCAGCAAATCCACAGGTGAGCGGGTCGCTTGCCCTGCCTTCCAATCGTGTCCTCGTGTCTCCGGTCATCTCATGTTTCCCCCACCAAGGTCCTCGTGCCTCTCTGTCTCCATGTCTCCAATCTAGTCCTCATTTCTCCGGTGACATCGCTTAATCCCTGCCCATGACCCCATGTCCCCGTGTCCCCGTGCCCTCGTGCCTCCGGACCTGGTAGGTGGCCGGGGTCGCCTCGAGTCGGTGGGCGAGGATGACGAACTCCGCGTGGCCGAGGGCGGCGTCTTCTCGGCGCCGGCGTTGCCAGCGCCGGCGACCGAGGCGACGGGGGCAGCAGAGGGCAGCCCCGAGCGCCAGGGCCATGGCAGCCGCAAGCACTCGCTCCCGCAGCAGCTGGACATCAGCGCCGTGTGCCAGGTGAGCGGCCGTGAGCCACACGCGCTGCCTGAGCGGCGGTTGGTTCGTGACTCCAAGTCGGGGGAGGCTTCGGAACTCTGCCCCAGGTTTTCCAGATGGCGCGTGCAGGTGGGGCGCGTTCAGGTGGGGCGCGTGCAGGTGGGGCGCGTTCAGGTGGGGCGCGTGCAGGTGGGGCGCGTTCAGGTGGGGCGCGTGCAGGTGGGGCGCGTTCAGGTGGGGCGCGTGCAGGTGGGGCGCGTTCAGGTGGGGCGCGTGCAGGTGGGGCGCGTTCAGGTGGGGCGCGTGCAGGTGGGGCGCGTGCAGGTGGGGCGCGTGCAGGTGGGGCGCGTGCAGGTGGGGCGCGTTCAGGTGGGGCGCGTGCAGGTGGGCTGACCAGGCTCGAGCCGGCTTACAAGCTGCCACGGTCTGGTGAGGTTGGGTGACTCTGGCCATAGATCGATGTTTGATGAAGAGATGATGTTTAGGTGGATGAAAGCGTTCCCTTGGTGTTAACTTGGGGAAGTTCTAGTAACCAAAACAATGTGGCGACCACTGCACTCTGTTGCGCTGTCTTAATGCTCTATAAGCTACACATACGCATGCGGTGCCGATGCCGCATTGAAGTCTCACCGTGCTTGTGTCGAATCCCCATGGTCTTGTGTTCATTCTCCACCAGTCTGCGCCCGCTCTCCATCGCACGAACGCTCCGCGAAGCCACGCCGTGCTGTTGCCGTTGCGCCGTGTTAAATCCCCACGAGGCCGCACCACGCGGCGTTCATTCTCCGTGGTTCCGCGAGCATCGAGTCGCGCTCACGCTGCCCGCGGTCGACCTCCCCGCCACCCCCCCCCCCCCCCCCCCCCCCCCCGCAGGACTTCACGGTGATCAAGAAGTCGTCGCGCTCGCTCAGCACGGTGCAGGTGGAGTCGCCCTGGAGGCTCTCGCAGCCGTCCATCATCTCCAACATTGTGCTCATGAAGGGCCACGGCCGGGTGAGCGACCCGACGCGAGCGCACCGGGGCCCTCGCGTCCCGCGGCGAGTGGGCAGGCGGGCGGGTGGGCGAGTGGGCGAGTGGGCGAGCGGGCGAGCGGGCGAGTGGGCGAGTGGGCGAGTGGACTAGCGGGCGGGCGAGTGGGCGGGCGAGTGGGCGAGTGGGCTAGCGGGCGAGCGGGCAGGCGGGCTGGTGGGCGAGTGGGCGAGTGGGCGAGTGGGCTAGCGGGCGGGCGAGTGGGCGAGTGGGCTAGCGGGCGGGCGAGTGGGCGGGCGAGTGGGCGGGCAGGCGCGTGTTTTGAGCGAGATTGAGCGACCGAGTGCTTGAGTGGGTGGGTGCACAAATGAATGAGACAGTAATTGAGCGAGTTAGCGAGGAGGCGAGTGAGCTACAGAAAGAGGGGGGTTGGAGGGGGAGTCAGCATTTGAGTGTAGCTGAGTGAAAGGGTGCCTCAGGTCATAATTCAGCGAGCAACTGGGTGAGCTGGGCGATTGAACGAGCGCGCGAGGGATTTAAGCGAGCTAGTGAGTTGAGCGTGAACGAGAGAGAGAGAGAGCGAGAGCGACTGAGAAATCCACGTGAACCACTGGGCATCAGCGCGGTCGTGAAGTGGACATGCCTTTGCCGTCCCACAGGGCCTGGGGTTCAGCATCGTGGGAGGACAGGACTCGGCGAGGGGACGCATGGGGATCTTCGTGAAGACGATCTTCCCTAGCGGCGCCGCCGCCGCCGACGGACGCCTCAAGGAAGGTGCGGCCGGCACGGCACGGCACATGACTCCGCTTGACCTCCAACGCCACCACCATCGTCACCCGCTCGCTCGCTCGCTCGCTCGCTCCACCTCCCTCACCCCAGCTTCAATGACACTCCTCACCCGTAACCACTCTCAGGAACCCTGATCAATTTTGATAATTCCTAAACCTACCTCTTACCACAGCCGATGTTTTAACACACCACACCAGGTACTCCAACACACCACACACACCAACATACCACACACACCAACACACAACAAACACCAAAACACCACACACCCCAAACACATCACACCACACACACCAACACACACCACACACACCAATACCCGACACACACCACACACACCAACACCCCACGCACACCACACCACACACACCCACACACCACACACACCAAATCCCCACACACCACACACACCAACACCCGACACACACCAACACACCAAATCCCCACACACCACACACACCAACACACACCATACACACACCAACACCCCAAATCCCCACACACCACACACACCAACACACACCATTCACACCAACACACACCAACACCCGACACACACCACACAACCACACACCACACACACCCACACCCCACACACACCACACCACACACACCCACACACCACGCACACCAAATCCCCACACACCACACACACCAACACCCGACACACACAACACACACCATACACACCAACACACACCCACACCGCACACACCGCACACACTGCACACACCATACCCACCACGTGACCGTCGTGGTGTGTTTGTTTTTCAAAGGCGATGAGCTCTTGGAAGTGAATGGGGAGTCGCTGCAGGGCCTGACTCACCAGCAGGCCATACAGAAGTTCAAGGTACTCGGCCACAGCCAACCCAGTGCCAAAAACACACACACAGTCGCGCATTTACAGACCCAGCCAGGTGGTGCAGTGGCAATATGCACGTGTCGTGGGTTCACTTGAGAGACGCACTCATTCAGGAGGCAACACGTTCATTCTACGACCACAACGGGGTAACTACATAACCAGTAACCACCACGGGGTAACTATATAAACGGGTCAGGTCAGTCGGCACACTGCCTGACCCACGATGCCGAGCACGAAGACCGGAGGCCGAGGAGAAGACGCAGCACGGTGGGTTCCATTCCAGCAGACAGCCCCGATGGGACCCCGGGACGTCCCTTTTATGCCCCCCAGCGTGGCCTGGCTCCGTCCTCGGCCACGCCCCCTTCTGGAACTCACCAGAAGATTCTGGGCCATACACCACGTGTCCCTTCTGTCACCTTTGGCCCACATCCTTACCCTGTCCTGTCATGTGCCCTTGCCAGCCAACCGGGCTGCTACGTCCTCAGATGCCCCCTCTCTGCCAGCCACCAAAACCATGTCCCCTAGGGACCCCTTTCCATGACATAGCGTACCCTGCAGGCAGAGAGGGCGACTACACTCCCAGTTCCCCTCTCTATCAGTAACTGGCGCTAGGCGCCGTAGTGACCCATTATATGTCACTACACATGTATGAATGTATGAATGTTGAACTTCTTTCGCACCGTACGTAGCCAACCGACGAGCGCAGTTTGGCTACGTACGATGCAAAAGAAGTTCAACATCAGTTTAACACGTAGGCTTTCGCGACAAATATCATTAATAATAATACAGGGTTTTTTTTGGGTTAGATCGCGTAAATATAAATGTGTCGTTAAACCCGTCACCACCCGACACAGCCAATTAGTACGGAGAGAGCCAGTTGTAAAAACAGGTGAGTTTCAAGACCACCTCTTAATAGTAAAGCGGACTCGAATGGACCGAGGACGAATGGAATTCCACAATCGCGGATCCTGGCAGCAAGAGGGCTGTGTCTCGCACAGAACAAAGTCTACTGCTGATGCTGATGATGATGTTGGCGACGATTGTTTTTCTGAATCGACGCGTGGTGCCCCCCCCCTACACCGCTCCCCCCCCACCCCCCCCCCCCCCCCCCCCCCCCCCACGTTTATGAGCGCAGCAGCTGAAGAAGGGCGTCGTGACGCTTACCGTGCGCACGCGTCTGCGTAGCCCGAGCCTCACGCCTTGCCCCACACCGACGCGGCTCAGCCGCTCCAGCACCCCCAACTCCAACTCAAACGCCAGTGGCGGGGGCACCCCGGTGCCGGACTCCGAGGATGGGGGGCCCAGCAGCTCCGGGGCGGGGCCCGGCGCGGGGCCCGACGTCGCCGCGGCGACGAGGAGGGGACCCGGGCCCAAGGACCGCGTCGTCATGGAGGTGGCCCTGCGCAAGGGTGAGAGGTCGCACGAGAGAGACCCCTGGGGTGGGAGCATGGGGAGAGGTGGGAGACGCGGTGAGACGCGGGGAGACGCAGTGAGACGCAGTGAGACGTGGAGAGACGCGGGGAGACGCGGTGAGACGCGGGGAGATACGGGGACGCGCCCAGTGCGCGTGCGCGACCCGAGTTCGATTCCTGCTCGCGGCCGACACCAGCGACGATTACACGCACCGGTCCTGGGCCTCGCCTAGGTAGACTCGGCCTCAAATGAGTACCTAATGTGGTGTGTACACATCGCCGCTGGGAAGAGACAGACGCGACCGGGTGTGGTGCTGGCCGCCCGCCCCTCCCCCGTGTGCCACGCCGGCCTTCGTAGGTGCTGCTCGCTAAGCGGCACTTGCCCCAACGGTCCGCTCAAGGCTACACGGGAGAATCTTTGTCTTTGTTGTTCCGCCCCCCCCGCCACCCCCCGCCCCCCCCCCACCGTGCTGTGACCGCGCGGTTGCGTCTCTGCGCGCTCGTCCGGAGCAGAGGCCGGCGTGGGACTTGGCGTCGTGGCGTGCTTCGTGGCACTGGAGAATTCCGCGCCGGGGATTTACATCCACAGCCTCGCGCCGGGCTCCGTCGCCAAGATGGACGGGAGGCTCAGGTGTGCCACGCGCGGGGGGAGGGGGGGGACGGGGGGGGGACTTGGGGGGGGGGACGGGGGGGGGACTTGGGGGGGGGGGTCGTCGAACGCACAGACCAGGGGCTCCGGAGAGGCATGCGGCTCTTTAAGGACCCACCGTCTCGTATTCACATGGCAACACATGGCATTGCGGCTCTTGAAATTTTTTTACCGATTTCGAAAAATAAATGCCTCTTCTTGTAAGTTTGGTTTGCCGACCGCCCCGGTGCGGACGAACCCCGCGGTGGCCTCGTCTCGAGCGCCGTTCGTCAACGACGCAGCGCGGAGTCTCCTGCGATTCACTTCGCCCCATTCACTTCACGCTGGAGCGCAGCCTGGATACGGGGGGCGGACTGGAATCGAACCCTGTGTGTTGCATTTGTTGAGGACCGAGGCGTCTCCGACTCGCCGGCATTTGACCGTCAGAAGCAAGGCAGTCTCATTCCTGATTTCGCCATTTCGTATATTTCCTTCTCTTTGCATTGTCTGTGAATGCATTTTTCCACATGTATTCACGTGTCCAACCCGTGTGTATTCACGTGTCCAACCCGTGGTACACTTCCGACAATAAAAGTGCCGCCCGAAGTTACAGGTCGTACGCGTCCGTAACTACGAAGAGTGCGGTGGGAATATCGCAAGGTTGGCCGTTTTTTTTATTTTAATAAACACAAGAGAGGTGGCATATTCTTCGTTCTTTCGGTAATAGTCACGTCGAAGGCGAATCAATAAAATGATAGGAATATAAAACAATAACATTCTCACGACGTTTCGACTGCAACACACGCAATCGTCATCAGGCGTGAAAACCACAGCAAGACAATTTGAAAAAAGTGGCGGGTTTTTTTTTACGTTAGCACCATGGAGAGCGATTTGGCAGTTTGTTCAGATGGACGAGTCCATCTATGTTCGGAAAAGAGGAGGGGGGAGGCGAAAATAATCGATGCGGTCTGAAAGCCACCGTAAGCGTGAACAATCAATTAAGACCCGAAATGGTTTATCAAATTCTTCCAATGATTGCTAAGCCAGAATCCATTTTCTCGGTTGAAATTATCTGTGTTTGCATATGTGGATAGCCTCATGAATGAATCTCTCATGGTAGCCAGATGGCTTGCAGAGATCCTCTGTCTTGGAGAAGTCAATGTCATGTGAGCCTACTGAATTATAACAGTGATCTGCCACGGCCGAGGTGTTGGTCCTACCGTGTTTTAGGTCTGCTTTGTATTCACGGATGCGGTCCAAGACATATCGTTTGGTTCCTCCAATGTAACTACTACCATAGAGGCAACTTAGTTTGCAGACTCCAGGGTACTGTATGTCCGGAATCACATATTTTACAGACGGAACCAGATCACGGATTTTATGTAATGTGTTGAATCGGACCTGGATCTTGTGTTTATTCAAGATTTTGGAGATCTTTTTTGTGGTCCCCGCAATGTAGGGTAAAGTGATGGCTTTGAATAGCTCCTCAAGAGGGTCCTTCTTCATGGTTGGAGTGATAGCTTTGTTGATTTTGTAGTCGGAGTAACCATTAGCCTTAAGAGCTTGGTGTACGTGCTTGAGTTCACTGGCTATGTGTTCCTGGTCGGATATTTATTGGGCTCTATGGTGCAGAGTCTTGATGAGGGAATTCTTCTGGGATGGATGGTGGTGGGAATCCGGTTTTAGGTCAGCATCTGCATGGGTTGCTTTCCTGTAGACAGAGTGGCTCATTGAACCATCAGATCTCTTTTTTATTAGGACATCCAAAAAAGGTAGCTTGCCATCTTTTTCGACTTCCATGGTAAATCCTGATGATGATTGCTTGTGTTGCAGTCGAAACGTCGTGAGAATTTAATTGCTTTATATTTTTATTATTTTATTATTTCCCTTCTACGTGACTTTACCGAAAGAACCAAGAATATGAATCCCTGCAGTCACGAAAGCTTTAAATCAAAATTTCACAAGAGGGGTGATTAGGGGGGGGAGGGGGGGGTCTAAATTATGGGAGAGTAAAGAGTCTTTAATTCCTTATTTTTATTAATAAAGATTGAGGAGGCCTCCATCCAGCAATACATTGATCACCGCGCTCCCCCAAGTCCCATGTGCGCTCGTGCAGTGTCTTTATTTTTGTCAAGCGTCCTCAGAGTTTGTCGTCCTTCCCACGCACCGCCGATTAGCACGGTCGGCCACGTACGGCGCGAAAGAAGTTCAACGTACATGCGTACACGCACGCGTACGTAGACGCCATTGCCCGTAGCCGCTATATGACTTGATGTCGTTGTTGTTGCTGCCGCTGCTCCTGCGTGCCGTCGCGGTGCAGCCGGGGAGACCAGCTGCTCGAGGTGGACTCGGTGAGCCTCCGGCACGCGGCGCTCAGCGAGGCCTACGCGGCCCTCAGCGAGTGCGGCCCCGGTCCCGTGAGCCTCATCATCAGCCGCCACCCGGACCCCAAGGTGCCAGCGACGCTCGCTCGTTCGCTTTTCGCTGGCGCCATTGGTGCACGAAGAAAAGATGTTGAATGAAAACTCGGCACGGTCGTCAATAACACTGTGGCCTTTAAAGGATAATAGATGACGCCTCGGGCAATGGCTCTTTCTCAAAGCATAATCTTTCACTTACTCACCCGTACACCCACTAAATTATTCTCCCACTGTTATTCACTCACTCACTCACTCACGCGTTTGCTCACGCGCTCGTTCGCTCACTCACAATTCATTCACGCATTCGCTCTAAGATTTCGTAGCTCACTCACTCCCTTGCTCACCCGCTCACTGACTCACAAGCCCATTAATGCGCTCGCTGGCTCACTCACAGACATAGCGGCTCGCTCGTTCACTCTCATGCTCGTCCACTCGCTCGCTCACTTACCCACTCGTCCTCCGACTCACTCGGACAAACACACGCGACAGCCAACACCGTGAATGGACGCGCATTATTCAAAAGCGTTTCCGCCCGAAACACGAGACCACCGTATCCCCGGTGCGCATCAGCCGGCGGCAGCCACGCGGATCGTGGCCCCACTGCTCACCGTTCACTCCGTGCTCGCTTCCGCTGCAGGTCTCGGAGCAGGAGATGGACGAGGCGATCGCGAGGCCGAACCCACGCAGCGCCACGAGCAAAGATTCCTCGCCGGCCCCTGGCGGCATCACCGCCGGTAAGCGCGCCACGGTGGCGAGATGTTAACTACCTCGCCTCGTATACAGGAGGTCGCGGGATCAATCACTCTACCCCGACGATGCCTTTATGTTTGGAGTTTGTGGTGTCTCTCTCCCCCGTGGTCACGTGCATTTTTCTCCGGGTCCTCCGGTTGTTCCCTCCACATTCATAATCAACATGACGCGCTTCGAGTGTTTGGCTGCTATACATTTCCACGTGATGATAAACCCATTTCGTTGAGTCATCACTTGTGACAGCCAGGTCGTCTTCTGCAGACGAGCTATCTGGTCAAATGAAAAAATACGTAGTTTAAGTTTAACAACCTCGTCACCACCGTATCACCTCCTCGTTAGCCATCGCACGGCCGTGCATCACAGCGGCAGGTCTTGAGGCAGGCTAGCACTCGGATGGGAGACTGCCTGGGAGCTAGCAGATGGTGTCATAGACTTGGGCCGTGAGATGATTGGGAGATGGCAGCACAGCATAGCATTCTCGCATTCCACGTGCGCAGAGCTTTGACGCACCAATACGTGTGTCCATGTGATGACACGTCTGTGCGTCCATCTCTCCGTCTGTCGGTGTGTCCGTGCGTGTGTCCACGCGTATTCACGGCTCTGTGCGTCCGGTCACTCCCGCCACTCGCCCGCGCGTCCGTGCCGTTCACGTGCCCACGTGTCTCCGCACCCGCGGCGTTCCCCCAGCACTGCCCCCCAAGAGCCCGGCACCCTCCCCGGGCCCCTCCCCGTCCACGCGACCCCGCCAGGTCGAGAACGCGACCTCCGCACTCAGCTGGACGATGCGACGCTTCCTCGAGCCCATGAGTCGGGTGGGTCGAGCCCCCCCCCCTCCTCCTACCCCGTCCCCCTCACCACGCACCGCCCCCACCCTCCCCCCCTTCCAGCCAGACTGCTCTGGGTGGAGGCGGGCGATGGGTGTGGGGGGGCGTGGGAGGAAGCTGGGTGTGCTGCAATGCAGAGATTGTAAGCTTTGATGTTAGACAGTGCCGGATTATCCTAGTAGCACAAGTAGCTACTACATGCAGTAGTAGCTACGGGCCCTGCACTTTCAAGGGCCCCGCGCTAAATGCTTTGAACCTGTGAATTCCGGTTCAGTGATTCTGCACTTGCTCTATTACTATAGTACTCTACCGCCCTTCAGCTTTTATGAACGACTGGGTGTTTAAGGTTAGCGATTTGTCGTATTATCTGGTTGTATACAGTGACTTTACTATGCAAGTAAATAAAATTGTATTTTAATGTATATGTTTTTATTTTATTTAGCGCCCCTTTATAACATGTGCTACAGGCCCCGCACTAGCTTCATCCGGCACTGATGTTAGATTAGGGGTTTTCGCCAATCGCAGCCTACAAAACTGATCAATCGGCTGCCATTGGGAACCGTGCCCCTTTAGATTTCACAGAGAACCGGTGCAGGTGGGTGGGACGTTTCCTATGTTGGTAAGCACAGCACCAGGTACTAATTTAAGGCTGAGTCGACCTTGGGGAGGCCCAGGACCGGTTCAGATAAACGCCACTTATGTTACACCATGAGCGAGTGATATCGCAGCGTACTAACCACTACGCCACCGCTCCCCACTTGTCACACTTATGCGCACGCGCAAACAAAACAAAGATCCCCCGTATAGCCTTAACAGACTGTAGGGGCAAGTGCTGTTAGCGAGCACCTATGAAGGCCGGCACGGCACATGAGAGGGTGGGTGGCCAAGATCGCGCCCGGCCGCCTTTGTCTCCCTCGTGGCGATGTTTACACACCGCACTAGGTACTAATTTGAGGCTAAGTCGACCTAGGGGAGGCCTAGCACCAGTTCGGATATTCGTCGCTGGTGTTGGCCGTGAGCGGGAATCGAACGCGTGTGGCCGGGTTCGTAGCTCAGTGCGCTAACCGCTGCTCCACCGCTCTCCACACGCGCACACACGCAGCAAGGATCCGTGAGCTCGGAGGCCGAGCTCTCCCAGTATTTCCCGGCCGAGGCGCCCGCGCATCCGGCCGCCCTGGACAGACCGGACATCGCTGGCACTCCTCCTCCCCCTCCGGCTCATCCTCCGGCTCCGGCTCCTCCTGCTGCTCCCCATCCTCACGTCGGCTCCGGCGCTCACGGCAACGCGGGGCACGGCTCGCCCGTCCCGCCGTCCACGCGGGGAGCGGCGCCGCCACCCTCGACGCCGCCGCCGCCGCCGCCGGCACCGTCGGCGTCGTCGCACGGTTCGTGACTCGGCGGTCCCGGTCGAGGTGCGCGCGTTCGTCCTCCTCTGCTGCTGTCCCCCCACCCCCGTAGCCTGCGACTCCCTCCCTTCCCCCCAGCTGCCCGTGCTGCCGACTCCCTGCCCCCTGCTAAAGTCCAGGCTCACGCTCGTCCTCTTTTTGCCTGGCGACTGACTGGACTTTCTCGTAGCGGTCGAATGTGCGCTAAGGGGGTGCAGCTGAAACTAAAACCAAACTATGTTATTTTACCAAATGAGGCCCACTGAGCTGAACAGCTCTTTATCAGAAGCGACCTGGCCACAAACGATAGCTCAACGAAGTGGCTTATCACGTGGACATTTCTAGCAGCCATATACTCTGAATGCACTTTGAAACGTGGAGGGAAAAAACAGAGGAACCGGAGAAAAATCCACACGACCACAGGGAGGGAGGGAGAGAAAAAAAAAACATGCAAAATCCAAATATACAGCAGGCATCGTCAGGGTCGAGATCGAACCCACGACCTCCCGCATACCAGGCGAGGTAGTTAACAACCTAGCCACTGTGGTGCCCTGCACCAGAGCCCACGGGCAGGAGGGCCCCAGACACCTGGCTATGAAGAGGACAAGGCAGGGAGGGATGCCAGGGGGGGTAAATTGAGCAGGGGAGCCCTCCATTACACTCCTTACACCGGGGCCCCACGTGCAAACCGCACCGCTGGGAGCGGCTGACTCGCCGCTTGGAGGCCGCGCGTCGCCGGCAGCTCAAGGCCACGCGGCCACAGGTGCCACCGCCCCTCCCTTCCTCACCTCTCCCCTTCTTCCTCGGCGCGCCACCAACGCACGCCTTCCCGTGTCCCCCACGCGCAGCCAGGAAACCGTGGGTGTGCGAGGGGAAGCGGCGGGACGCGGGGGAGCGCCGGGAGGGGCTGGCGGGGAGCGTGGGAGCGCTCGCGCCGCGCCAGTCGCTCGCCAGCCTCACAGTTGTCGCCCGCACGCTCGACAAAGCCTCGCACCTTACCCAACACCTCGCATCTTCACCGGATTCGATCCATGAAAGTCTGAGTCCATTTCACGATGATTTTATGGATGGGGGGGGGGGGGGGGTTAGTTTCTACGTATGTGTTTGTGCTACAGAGCCACGCTGTGGGCTGGCGAGGGTAAGTGCAGCAACATCCATTTCAGGTGGTGTGCCCTCTGTGTTCCACGCTCTCACCAACCCGCATTGACCAGCGTCGCGAAATATCAGAATCGAGAATATTTATGGAGTCTGGATGGAATCCAATGGGCTGTGAAGCTCTTTTTTTCACAGAGCTGTCCAGTGCATCTGTGGCGACCGAATACACAAACCATAGACAAATACAGTCGCCACAGCAGGAATGACAGTCGCAATTCCAACTTTTGTGTGGTGGTGGTGCTGGTGGTGCGTGGCCCCAACACAACCCACCCACCCCCGCCCCCTCCCCCGTCGTCTGCGGGTGCCACCCCTGGTCTCGTCGTTGATCCTCTTCCGCAAAACGTCCCCTGCGTCGCCGCACGCGGGTGGGGCGGGGGGGGTCACGAGGGGACGTTGGGGAAACGGAGTGGGCGCGCCGGTTTGAATTACGACCTTCCCCATAACACCCCCCCCCCCCCCATTATCCCATCTGTTTCCTGCGAAGAGGGGGGGGGGGGGCGCGATGCGTCCGCTGACAATCGCCGCCCCTTGATGCCACCCCATTAATTGACTCCGTCGTTTGGCTACCCTGGCCGAGCCAACGGGGACGACGGTGGTTTTGCGATGCTGCGATGCCGGCAGGTGCACACAGCACGTGCGCACGTTGGACTCCCTTCGCCCACCGCACGTAGGCCAGCCGCGCTACGTGCGGTTGGCGAAAGAAGCGCAAAGAACACCCAACGCAACGCGTGCCGTCAATGGCACTGCGCTGGAGAGGGATGGGTGCAGGGCGGGCGGGCGGGCGGGCGTGGCGGCCGACGTTTTGGATGTTGAACTTCTTTCGCTACCGTACGTAGCCAACCGTGCTCATCGGAGGTGCCGGGGAAGGACAACAAAAGGGTGATGGGCCGAGAGAGCCGCCGCCCTGGTCAGTCGCAGCTCCTATCAGCACGTACTATGCGAAGGAAGTTCGACATACATACACACACAGATTCACACAGAGACCCATCGTTTGTTGTCCTTCTCCCGCACCTCCGATTAGCACGGTTGGCTACGTACGGTGCAAGAGAAGTTCAACATACTGTGCATACAGTCGAACGCCACCGATGTGAACTTTCCTGGACGACGTGAGCCCTGCGAGTTGAACGCGGTAGCGTTGTTGTAATGTTGGCGCAAATTGCGGCGCGATGGTAATTACAAAGAGGCGTGGAAGAGTAGGCCAAATAACCTCTTAGAGGGGGGCTCTCTATAGCCTCCGCTAGGGGGGGGGGGGGCTCCTTCCACCAGCGGTGGCGTGATTGAGCAATTGCAGGGCTGCGTTTTGACCTTTTAACCTTTTACCAATCGACAAAAAAATAAAACGGTGGCCTGCGGTGGCCGGGTGGCTGAAATGTTCCATCGCTGAGTCGGCACCGCTGAGATCCAGGGGTTTGGCTCCTGGTTTCAGCCGCCCGTGATCAAACCTGGTCCTCAATTCTAGTGCACGTCTAGCCACAGCCTGGTCACCGATGACTGCTTCATACAAATTCCAGCTGTGAGGTCGGGTGGGCAAGTACCTGCCCTCCTCTGTGTGGACCAGAGGTCGCTTGAAGCCTTTTCCTCTCAGAAGTAGCTCTGTGAGCACCGCTCCCGCGGGTCGTTCCCCAACACGTGGCGGGGTTGCGCTGCCGTGCGAGAGATCTGGGACAACCAAAAATTTTGGGGGGTGGGGGGGGGGGGAAATAGCAAAACTGTAAGTAGAGAAAAAAAGGCACAGAGACACGTGTTGACAGATGTTCCTCATTCCGTCTCGGTTTCGACCCCTCTCCTGCTGAAAGTTTCACACGGAATGAGCGGCGGAAGCTTAAAATAAAAATCAAGACAGACGTTTGGGGGGGGAGGGTGGGGGGAAACACTGACGGGGCGCTTATCGGATTGTGCAAACATGGCCAACACGTGCGTATTTCGGAGAGAGGCATTATGAGCCGCACGGCTTCCTGTGTCGGGATATTTATTTTATTGCGAAGCGCGCAAGGCAGTTGCGTGACGTTCGCTTCACAAGCTCCCCCGCCCCCCTCACTCACTCGCCCGCCCGCCCGCCCGATCTCTCTGCCGGCATCGGCGCTCGTTCAGATCGCAATCCGGTCCCGCCTCGGCTGCCTCGAGTCGAGCCCGCGTTTCCCCTTCTCTAATTGTTTACAAGCAGCTTCTTCTATCCAACGTCTTCTTATCTACGTTGAATTTATTTCACACCGTACGTCTCCAACCGTGACAATCGGAGGTGCGGGGGGGGGGGTGTTGGAAGGACAGCGAATACATTAATTTTGAAGAAGAAAAAGTGCGCTGCTAAAGAGGTGAGTTCTTCGATGATTAAGTGGTCTTTCCTGATTTGATGATTAAGTGTTCTTATTCATGCAGATGGGACTGTTCCCGGCCACTAGAAGCGTCACGGCAAACGGCGGAAACGGCTGAACGCACGGAACGTAAAACGACGAGCGCCAACGTTAACCTGCGCGGCCGCTGCGGGCATCACCCGGAGCGTGCGACTATTCCCTGGACGTTCTAAGAGCGTGCGACTATTCCCTGGACGTTCTAAGAGCGTGCGACTATTCCCCGGGCGTTCGTGAGCCCCCCCCCCACCCCACCCCACCCCACGCATCTCTCTCCCTCGCAGGCAGGGGACACGCCGGCCGGGACACGAAGTTGGAGAGGCATTCGGGTCGCGACGCCCGGCACGAGAGACGTCCGCAGCCCGCCTCCACTCGGGCAGAGGAGGCGACGCTGCAACAGCGGCGGCAGCAGCAGCAGCAGCAGCAACAACGGCTGCAGCAGCAGCTGCAGCAGCAGCTACAGCAGCAGGTGGGGAGGGTTCCACCGGACGTGTCTGGGATGCTTCGACGTGTCGCGGGAAAAAAAAAAATCTTCCAAAATCTGTCTCAAAAGTTGACGATTGTGTTCCTTTGCCTGTCCTGTGTTGTAATTCTGTTCGGGTCAGATTTGAGCGAAGGGAATTTGATATTGATGATGATGGTGATGATCAAGAGCATTGTGTGACGCGTGCATGCTCCCTGCACCGCACCTGCCGATTAGCACGATTGGCTACGTACGGCGCGAAAGGAGTTCAACGTACATGCATATGTACGTACGGGGCTCTTCTGTCAATCTACTGCTGGATGAGGGCCTCCCCACACTGTGCGGGTCGTGGTGGTTATTGGACCGTACTTCTCCATGCTGGTCCGCGTGGGTCGATAAGGGTTGGTGAGGGTTGGTGAGGATTGGTGAGGATTTAGGAGGGTTTTTGAAGGTTGGTGAGGGTTGGTGAGGATTGGTGAGGATTGACGAGGGTTGTTGAAGGTTGGTGTGGGTTAATGAGGATTGGTGAGGGTTGATGAGGATTGGTGAGGGTTGGTGAGCTGGTGAGGGTTGACGAGGGTTGAAGGTTCATGAGGGTTCATGAGGGTTGGTGAGGGTTCATGAGGGTTGGGGTGGGTTCATGAGGGTTGGTGAGGATTGGTGAGGGTTGGTGAGCTGGTGAGGGTTGGCGAGGGTTCATGAGGGTTGGGGTGGGTTCATGAGGGTTGGTGAGGGTTGGTGAGGGCAAGCATATAATGTGTATAACAGCAAATATTATTCCATTAATATCTTGCCGAGTGTCAAGGGAAGCTAATCCAATTCCCTATAGGGCATCAATTAAAGGACAATGAACACGGGTCTTCAGCTGCGTGACTCAGAGTAAATACGCTCAATAAGAGCCAGGCGTGTCGTCACAGCACCAGCAAAGCCACCGTGACATCGCACCCGTGAAGCCTAACACAACGCCACCGCTACAATTGTGCGACTCGCCACAACTCCGGAGTGCGTTCCCCGCCCCCTCCCCCCCAACCCCCCACGAAACAAACACCTCTCTGACGCGTGAATTCCTAAACAGTTGCACAGGCCCCAGCCGCCGTCAAAACAAGACGCCCGCACCGCCAGGGGCCCCACGGACGCCAGCAACAACTCTTTGACGGTGCGTGAGGCCTCGCCGGAGCCGGCGAGGAGTTCGCCTCCGTCTGAGGGAACGCCGAGCGCCGCCGCCGGCACCGCCGCCGCCGCCGCCGCGGCACCGCCGCCGCCACTCGTCCGCAACCGGCAGGTGGAGGCGGCGAAGCAGGCGGCGCCGGACAGCCCTCAGGCGTCGCGCAGCCCCCTGCTCCGGCAGCGGCGCGTCCTGCGCCACGAGGACGACGGCCTGAGCGACGAGGAAGGCGGCGGCGGGCGACCGGCGCGGGAGGGACGGGGCCCGGCGGGGAGGGGCGGCAGCTTCCGCACGTGCCAGGCGGCCCGGCGAGGAAGGGCCGCCGATCGCCCCGTGACCGACGCGGCCGCCGACGGCCCTTCGCGAGCACCGTCTCCGTCGTCTTCCGCCCTCTCCGCGGCGGTGGCCGTGTTCTCGTCGTCGTCCTCGTCGCAATCGTCGGCGGTCAAGCGGGAGCTGGCCAACTCGGGCATCGTCATCGCCACCTCGTCGGTGGAGGTGGACGACGAGAGCCAGGACAGCGACTTCTTCTGCTACGGCGGCAACGCTCGTGCCGCCAGCAGCGACGTGCCCAGCTCGCAGCACGGCAGCTCGCTCGAGTCGGAGGACGGGCTCGGCGCGGGCAGGGAGCGCGGCGGCGACTCGCCGCTCGTGCTCATCCGTGGCACCATCGCCACCACGTACTTTGACTACGCGGGGGGCGCTACGGATACCTGCGGCGAAGGCGGCGGGGGTAGTGGGTTGACCGTGGGCCGACACGCGGACCCGCGGAGCGACGGAGAGGTGAGTTGCGCCGCCGGCGGACAAATCGATTTCAAGCGATCGCCCAAGCTGGAGCACAAGGCGGTGATGCGGGTCAAGAGCATGCTGAGCGTAGAGTGTCCACAGCAGCAGCAGCAGCAACAGCAGCAGATCACCTCATGCCAGGCACAGTCGCCAACAAACAGAACCACAGCCAAGCCCCAGGCGAAGGGTGGATTGACCGACCCCTCTGCAGTCGATGCCGCAAGGTCGGAGGGTACAGACCTGGGGGACACGGAACCCCTCGCTCCGGAGGCGGCTCACGGTGAGGCCTCCTGCTCTGCCGGAGTGGAGGGAGCGGACGACACTTCACACGGTGACGGCTCGGGTTGGATCGGTCGTACCGGAGAACGTGGTGTTGCCGTGCCACGCGCGGACGTGTCGTCATCACAAGGCCTGGATGGCGAACGTCCGGACTCTGTGACGTGGACTGATTCTGTTATTCATATCCACCGTGAAAGCGAACTTCGCAATCTATCCGGCGCTGCGGACCTGACCGACCGCGTGGGGTCGGACATCCGTGCCGACGCCGGGAATCCGACGGTGCCCGTCCCGCCTTCCGGAGGACGCGACGACGGTGCGCCCACCGCTGTCGTCGGCGGCGACCCGGCCTGCCGGTGCGCGGAGGAGGCGGCCGCGGGCTACGACCCGCCCTCGAGACCCGGCCAAGCGCGCTCCGTCGTGAACGGCGATGGCGAGGGGGGTCCCCGGGGCGGGCGGCCCGGGTCGTACGACCTGCAGGTGGTGCAGATCTCGAGGCGGGAGTCGGAGACATTCGGCCTGGACCTGGAGATAAAGCCGGCACCCATGCGCGTCTACATCAAGGAGCTCAAGCGCGGCGGAGTGGCCGAGCGGGTAAGCTGACGCGTTCGTGCCGGCTCTCTCTTTGGCAATGTCCGGTGGCGACGGTGTTAAGCAATGGAACTCCTCTACGATCCTCTATCTTGGAAAATCTTATTCCACTGTTGCAGGTGGCATGACCATTTGGATTTCTCGCTGAGCAGAGCGTAGCACCTGTCTGAGTGCGAACGGCTCACAGGAGGAGATATCGCAGAACTGCGGCGGAGAGCCTTTCAAGGGACACGTTGTCCACGCTAGGGGTCCTCGCACTTTGCTACCCGCCCTCACATGAGCAGTGGCCAGGAATTCAATTCAGGCCCCGCCGGGTTCGTGGTGCGTTGCCCGGACCACCGTGCCACCGTTCACCTGACACTGGGCATAGGAAGGAAAGGATTTTGTGGTGAATACATATTTCCTCCCCTTATGAAGCTGCGGTGATCTTAAAATAATGGTACTTGTATGTGCTACCTCCAATATCCCTAATATGTGTTGGGTGCGTTTTATAAACGCACGTTAAGCAACACTTTGCTCACACTCTTTTTTATTCTAATTGAATAGAGAACGAAAGCATAAGCATCGACGGCTCCTCCGTGAGAAACGTAGCGTCTCTTACGAATTTGTAGGTTCTTCTCAACGAATCTGATCAATTTTACGTAATTTCCACGGGCTCTTGTTGATGTCGTAGAAAAGCGACCCGATAGGCGATCGCCCGTGATCACGAGGGTCAGGAGCGATAGCGCCCGTTCCAGGAAACGTTCGCGGGGTTTGGGTTTTTCGCGTTTCCATTGGAAGACCAGGTGTTCCTTATCACCGCCGACACATTTTGTTTCTGCGGTGTAAACTCCTCCGGCCACCCGCCCTCGCCGCCCTCAACTTCTGCCCAAGGTGCCCTCCTCCGAGGTTTTTTAACGCGATCGTCGAGGCGCCCGCGCGTTAAACGCCGCCCGCCGCTGCCTCCTCGCCCGCCCCCAACGTCGGCACGGCGAAGTGGAACTCGCTTGTTTAAAGGCGCGGGTGTGCGGCGACGCGGGGACGGCTCGCAGGCTCTGACGGATCGTCGCCTTGCGCTGTCGAGGGAGCCGAGGTAGGGAGGGCTGAGGAGGAGGAGGCGGCGGCGGCGGTGGGAGTGTGGGGGCCGGCCCGGTTCACTTTCTCAAGGTCCCTCTGTGCGTCCGTTCGTCTGTCCGCACATCCGTATGTCTGTCCGTCCGTGCGTCTGTCTGTCCGCACATCCGTGCGTCTGTCCGTCCGTGCGTCTGTCTGTCCGTACGTCCGTGCGTCTGTCCGCCCGTCCGTCCTGACGTCTTTTTATGTCCGTCCCCATCAGCTGCGCAATGGCGAGTTGCAGGCAAAGCTTCGTGTTGACACGGATGCGGCGTTGCGTTGCCGTTTGATACTGCGGGGTTATATTTTTTTTTACTCTGCACGTGGCTAAGCGAGCAAGGAGCAAACCGGTGATAATCTATATATTTTTTTTTTGGGGGGGGGGGAAATGTTACTTAAAAAGTGTGCGTACTGCGTGAGCGTATACAGACGCTCCGGCCAGGTGTTTGAGTTCATTTGGTGGCGCAGCAGCGGTCCAGGTTGTGCGACTCCCATGTGCGTAGGACTCTCGAGTGTCAGCCCCGTTGAGCGTCGACTCCGTGCCGTCATGGTTATCCTCATCGTCGTGACCACCACCACCACCATCATCTTCAAACATCCCAGTGTAGTCCGCAGCGGTTGACCTACAGTGTCGCGGTTAGCGCACTGCGCTACGAACCCAGCCACCCGAGTTCGATTCCCGCTCACGGCCAACAAACAGTGGTGGAGTTTAGAACGGGTCTTGGCCCTCCCCTAGGTCGACTACGCCTTAAATGAGTACCTGGTGCTGTGTGTAAACATCGGCGCTGGGTGGTAGGCAAATGTGGTCGTGCGCTGTGCCAGCCTTCGTAGGTGCCCGCTCAACGGGACTTACCCCGACAGTCTGTTGAGGCTGTACGGGAGGGGGGGGGGGATCTTTGTATGAACGCATCCAGAACAAAGCTGCAGGTTCACTAAAATGCGGGTGGCCGTGCGGTGGTTCGATTCCTGCTCGACGACCACAACGACCGTGTTCGACTCCGGGCCCCGGTTAGCGTCAGTGGCCAGTGACATCCGAACGTGTGTCAGGTACAGTGAGGGAAAATAGTATTTGATCACCTGCTGATTCTAGTACGTTTGCCCACTGACAAAGAAATGATCAGTCTATACTTTTTATGGTAGGTTTATTTGAACAGTGAGAGACAGAATAACAACAACAAAATCCAGAAAAACGCATGTCAAAAATGTTATAAATTGATTTGCATTTTAATGAGGGAAATAAGTATTTGACTCCTCTGCAAAACATGACTTAGTACTTGGTGGCAAAACCCTTATTGGCAATCACAGAGGTCAGACGTTTCTTGTAGTTGGTCACCAGGTTTGCACACATCTCAGGAGGGATTTTGTCCCACTCCTCTTTGCAGATCTTCTCCAAGTCATTAAGATTTCGAGGCTGACGTTTGGCAACTTGAACCTTCAGCTGCCTCCACAGATTTTCTATGGGATTAAGATCTGGAGACTGGCTAGGCTACTCCAAGACCTTGATGTGCCTCTTCTTGAGCCACTCCTTTGTTGCCTTGGCCGTGTGTTTTGGGTCATTGTCATGCTGGAATACCCATCCACGACCCATTTTCAATGCGCTGGCTGAGGGAAGGAGGTTCTCACCCAAGATTTGACGGTACATGGCCCCGTCCATCGTCCCTTTGATGAGGTGAAGTTGTCCTGTCCCCTTAGCAGAAAAAAAAACCCAAAGCATAATGTTTCCACCTCCATGTTTGACGGTGGGGATGGTGTTCTTAGGATCATAGGCAGCATTCCTCCTCCTCCAAACACGGCGAGTTGAGTTGATGCCAAAGAGCTCCATTTTGGTCTCATCTGACCACAACACTTTCACCCAGTTGTCCTCTGAATCATTCAGATGTTCATTGGCAAACTTCAGACGGGAATGTATATATGCTTTCTTGAGCAGGGGGACCTTGCGGGCGCTGCAGGATTTCAGTCCTTCACGGCGTAGTGTGTTACCAATTGTTTTCTTGGTGACTATGATCCCAGCTGCCTTGAGATCATTGACAAGATCCTCCCGTGTAGTTCTGGACTGATTCCTCACTGTTCTCATGATCATTGCAACTACACGAGGTGAGATCTTGCATGGAGCCCCAGGCCGAGGGAGATTGACAGTTCTTTTGTGTTTCTTCCATTTGCGAATAATCGCACCTACTGTTGTCACCTTCTCACCAAGCTGCTTGGCAATGGTCTTGTAGCCCATTCCAGCCTTGTGTAGGTCTACAATCTTGTCCCTGACATCCTTGGAGAGCTCTTTGGTCTTGGCCATGGTGGAGAGTTTGGAATCTGATTGATTGCTTCTGTGGACAGGTGTCTTTCATAAGGTAACAGGCTGAGATTAGGAGTACTCCCTTTAAGAGTGTGCTCCTAATTTCAGCTCGTTACCTGTATAAAAGACACCTGGGAGCCAGAAATATTTCTAATTAAGAGGGGGTCAAATACTTATTTCCCTTATTAAAATGCAAATCAATTTATACAATTTTTGACATGCGTTTTTCTGGATTTTTATTTGTATTCTGTCTCTCACTGTTCGAATAAACCTACCATTAAAATTATAGGCTGATCATTTCTTTGTCAGTGGGCAAACGTACAAAATCAGCAGGGGATCAAATACATTTTTCCCTCACTGTACCTCTCCAAGGCCACCTCATTCCTTAACGAAGACCAGTCCCGCACGCCTACGCGAGAGTAACTCTGCCTTTTGCCAATTTGCGTGCGCGTAACGTGTGCGTTCACACACTGCCCTGGGCCTCGCCTAGGTCGACTCGGCCTTAAGCGACGACCACCTGTCCCTGCTGCTCCGTGGGGGCACGGGACGAGCTATTGAGGCCTGCGCGTGTCCGCAGGAGGTGGGCGGCCGCCTGTGCTGCGGCGACGAGGTGCTGTGCGTGAACGGCGTGACGCTGTCGCTGCTGGAGCCCGACGAGGCCTGCCGCCTCTTCTGCAGCTTGCCGCTGTCCTTGCGCATGGTGCTGCGGCGAGACGCCACGCGCGCACTCCCAGGTGGGTCCGCCTCCTCCTCGCCCTCCTCCTCATCCACCTCATCATCGCCCCCCTCCTCATCCCCCTCGCCCTCGTCCTCCTCGCCCTCCTCACCCCCCTCGCCCTCCTCATCCCCCTCCTCATCCCCCTCCTCATCCCCCTCATCCTCGCCCCCCTCCTCATCCCCCTCGCCCTTGTCCTCCTCGCCCTCCTCATTCCCCTTGCCCTCCTCATCCCCCTCATCCTCGCCATCCTCCTCATCACCCTCGCCCTCCTCCTCGCCCTCCTCATCCCCCTCGCCCTCCTCCTCATCCACCTCGCCTCCTCAGCCCCCTCGCCTCCTCAGCCCCCTCGCCTCCTCAGCCCCCTCATCCTCCTCCTCATCCCCCTCGCCCTCCTCCTCTTCGCCCTCCTCATCCCCCTCGCCTCATCCCCCGAATCCTCCTCGCCCTCCTCATCCCCCTCGCCCTCCTCCTCATCCACCTCGCCTCCTCAGCCTCCTCCTCCTCATCCTCCTCACCCTCCTACTCCTCCCTGCCATCCTCGTCTTGATCCTCCTCCTCATCATCCTCATCAACTTCGCCATAGTCCCACCTTGTTGTCCTTCCCCCGCATCTCCACGCCTGTCAAACCCTCATCAGCAGTGCCCCACGTGATTGCAGACCAATTCGGACCTCATCGGTCACCCCGTGCCCTTACTAATCTCAACGTTCACACTACAAAGTCCCATCACAAGGGAGAAATACAAACAAATATCATGTTTTTCTTCTCCATATTGAAACGGCTGTATGTACCTGAACTCAATTTCCCTGTACAAGAATATTACGGGGTATAAACCGTATGGGTTGACGCGGTATGCATCTCCGATGAGCATGGTTAGCTACGTACGGTGCGAAAGAGGTTGAAAGTAATTACGTGCACAGCTCCTTCTCACCATCGTCTTCATAGTCACAGTTTAAACACGTAGGCTTTCACCACCAATATTATCCATGATAAAGGGTTTTTTTGGGGGGTGGGGGGGTAGATCAAGAGGACTTCACAATTCTGCCTGTCACCCGATGAAGCTGGTCGTAATCACCAGCGAAACATCGGAACCCGAATTGTAAATGTTGTGGGTTTACTCCCACACAGCATAAAGGACGCGATCTGGGCTTGGCTGTCTTCACTCCAACGCTGTCCTCTGGACAGTCCGGTTCCTTCACCTGATGAAGGCCACTTGTGTTGTGGCCGAAACGTCGTGATTTTTGTCATTTTATTTTTACGTACGTGACTTTACCGAATAGAACCAAAGAGTATGTTTACTCTCCAATGCCCCGTTGTGCTGAACTAGCAACTAATTACGAGCACGTTTCGTTTACTTGACGAAACCTTGCCAACTGGCTGTTGTCAGGTGGTGGCGGGTTGAACGAAACACGTTTTTATTTCCGCGATCCAACCCAAAATTAAACCCCTTTATCGTTCATAATCATACTCTGCACACTTCACCTCGTTCTCATCATCCTAAATTCTCCTCTTCTCCCCCACCAGCTCCTCCTCCTCCACCTTTCCTACCCGGCACACCACATCAAGTATGCACTCTCCCTCTGGCCTGTGGCTGCCACTCCTCACCGTGCCAGCTATTCCAGCCTACCGGGAAAACATTATACTACCAGTCGGATGGTGTGATTCAGTTATCACATTCGATCAAACTATTTTTTTTATTACTGAAATGAATGTTTTTATCTTTTCCTGCCATGTGCTGTGCAAGGTGGCCGTGGAAAGTTCCTTCCGCATCGTTTGGCGTCAACGATTGTTCCTGTACAATATCTAGAGCCGCTTGGGAGTGTTTGGACGCGATACAAAGCCACGTTATGTTTATGATGAATTTCATCGTCGTCATAATCATTATGAGTATTTCGAAGCCCGGATCGGCTCCGTGTCTCTCGCTTCACGCGACTCAGCCGCCCCTTGTCAGCGCCACGCTCCAATAATGAACATTAACCACCGACCCCCGCCGGCTCAGCTCGAGCTGTAACTAAACCCCACGTTCAGGAAGGATGTGGATTTGCCAGGGATTGGTGGGGGTGGTGGGTGGGTAGATGGGGAGGTGGGTGGGTGGGTGAGGGGCTCCGGATATCCAGCGCCTGTGTTGACAGCGGCCGGGGTGCGTAATTGTGTGATTGATCGTCTTCCTGCGTCAGGGTCTCGCGTTGACCCCCGCCTCACACTGCTGCTGCTGCCTGCTGCACCTGGGCCTCGGGGGGTTAGCAGCAGCAGCAGCAGTAGAAGTGACAGCTGCAGTAGAAGACAGCAGTAGCAGGAGCTTCAATATCAGTCGAAGCAACAGCTGCAGTATAAGAAGAAGCAGCAGGAGCTGCAATAGCAAAAGCAACGGCAGCAGCAGTAGGAGCAGCGGTGAGGTTTGCTTCGCTTGTCCGAGAAGTTACAGCCCTCCTGGTATTGGCCAACATGCCGACGCTGCAAAAGTACCTCTTACATCACTCAATTGGGAAAACGCACAGCAGCGACATCGCTGCCCTCCTGTGAAAAACTTGGCAGGACCCTCCTGAAAAAGAGCCACAAGACTCATAAGCGAGTTTTGCCTTTGGGTGAAGAAGTCACACTGACTGACATGTGCGTGTCCCGCACCTTCTGATCCTTGCGACTTGTATGTATGTATGTATGTCGAACGTCTTATACATCGCCACAAGAGAGACAAAGGCGGTCGTGGCTTTTTTCTGGCCACCCACCCCCTCGTGTAACGTGCCGGCCTTCATAGGTGCTCGCTAACAGCGCTTGCCCCAACGGTCTGTTGAGGCTATATGGGGGATCTTTGTCTTCGTCTTGAATTTCTTTCACACCGTACGTAGTCAACCGGGCGGGCGCCAGTTGGGAGGGTGTTGAGCCTTGAGCCACTCAGTGAGATTTTCCCGGGTAAGCAAGTTGATTAATAATGGCAAATGTGTGTGTGTGTGGGAAGGTATGGGAAGTGGTTAGTGCCCTGCGCAGGGAGATTTTGGTTTAAGTATTATTGGTCACACACCAACGCTTGGTCAACTCAAACCAAATGTGCAACAGTGGTGCGGTGGTGGGTAAATAAGTACGAGCACTGGGAAAACAAAGACGGTCAGTTTAAGTACAGAAGTGAGAGCTCTTTAAGACCCAAGGTCCAAACAAAAGCACAGAATGGAATATCGGCGCAGAAAGACCGAACAACGTCAGGCCATTTCAACGATTAAATTAAATCCGTTGCTGCAAAAAATTAATATTCAGACGATAATGTCGTTGTCTTAACATCACTGAGTGTGTAGATATAGCTACAGTGAGCATAACTATTACAATTTTAACAACATGACAATATGCTTACTTGTTTCTGCTGTAACTAACAAGTACTCGGATTTACCCACAAAAAGCCACATTTATCAGTAAAATGAAAATCGTTCGAGTTCTTGGTATGTATGTACTTTGTATGTTTAACTGTTTCGCCACCATATGTAGGCAACCGTGCTAATCGAAGGTGCGGGGGAAGGACAACAAACTAAACATGCGTGAGTCATCGTAATGCTGTAGTAGTAGCAATAATCATATCAACCAATTTTATTTTTAATTTGGCAGCAGCAGAGAAAGGCACCATGAGCTCCGGCGCCATGCCAGCAGACCCCCCGATGGGGGAGGGGGGCCCGGCGGGCCAGGCTGGCGAGGCCCGGCAACGGCGCTGCGACCCCGACCCCGACTCCGACCCCCTCGTCAGCGAAACGAAACGGGAAGCGGCAGGGGAAGCGGAGCTCCCACTACGAGCGCTGCTCGCGGAACCGCAACAGAAGCAGCAGCAGGAGGAGGAAGGGGAGCAGCAAGAGGGGGAGGGGGAGCAGCAAGAGAAGCAGCAAGAGGAGGAGGTACCGCCTCCTCAAGGCAAAGGCGGAGACGACGACTACAGCTACGACAACAACAACGATGACCACAGCGACATCCCCGTGTCATACATCGACGACGTGCTCGACCAGATCTCGTTCGAGGATAGGGGTTGCAGCGATGGCGGCGGCGGTAACGGCGCGGGAGAGGGAAGCGCGGTGCCACTGGCCAGCGGAGTCGGAATAGTCGGCACGGAAGCGATAGAAGGAACGAGCGGCAGCAGCGACGAGGAAGCGAGAGAGCGGAGTGCGACGGAACCGCGCCCCGCTTCCCTCCCCGCGCTAGAAAGTTACGACCGCGAGGGAGACCGGCGCGGGACAGAGCGGGAGGCGCGGGACCGGCGCACGGACGGTTTCTCGGAGAGGGACGATCCCGCGAAGCGAGCGGCGCCAGCCGACTGCGACGACGACGACACCCGCGCCGAGCAGGAGGATCTCGCCGATCGAGCGACGCCCGGCGAGGCGCTCACCGGAGGAGGAGGCGACAGGACGCGCGGCGGCGATCCGTGCTCGGAGGCGTTCGTCGTGGCCGAGCGAGCGCCCTTGGCCTCGGATCCTCGGAGCGAGGCCGCGGATGTTGGGGCCGATGAAGACGCCGCTCGCGTCAAGGTGCTTGGTGGACACGTGCGTGACGCGGACTCGGCTCCTGGCGTAGAGAATGAAGTCTCGTCCCTTCCACGGGCAGACCGTTGCAAGGGAGATGGGCTTGTTGAGCCTCGACTGCAAGCTGTGACTGGCGGAGCGGTGGACGGTGGTGAGGGGAGGAGTGAAAATCCGAGGCAGATGGAGGACGACGTTTTTGTGCAAGGAGAGGTCAGAGACGTTAAAATGAGACCCCACTCACCTCCAGCGCCGAGCTTGGACTACAGTGACCCCAGGGCAGAAGCCTTAGGGATGAATAATCGGGAACATCCAGAGCTTCCGCAGGAGAGGTCAGTACTTCAGGGACTGCCCTGCACGGCGGTTCACCACACCTTCTGCGATGGTCAGAGTTCTGCCAACGTGGCCAAGTCCGACCGTCCTCCCAAAACGCTCCCGAAACCCAAGATCCCGCTCGCACAACTCCTGCAACGTGCCGATAGCCAAAACTCCTGCCTCGACGAGCCGCCAGGAAGCGCCGCCTGCTCTGTGACCACGAGAGCAGACCCCGAGCCCGATAAACGCACCTCTCACTCGGCGGCCAGGGTGTCGTTTGTGACTCTCTCTGGTCCTGAACAACCGCTGGACAAGGACAGGGCAATTGAAGTGACAAACATTGCGACGGCGGAGGACCAGCCAGAGGCAGTGGTGTGCAGGCCCGTGAAGCCCATGACGCCCGGCCAGATCCTGTCGAGGAGGCACTCGAAGGAGTGGGTGGCGACAAAACCAGCGGCGGATTCCTTCCGCGCCTTCAGCACCGCCAGCGTGGGCGACGAGAAGTCCAAGCAGAGATCGGCGGCAGTGGGGAGAGCCCAGAGCTTCCAGCCCAAATCGCCGCTGGTCGCGAGCCGATCCTTTCCTAGCGGAGCTTCTACGGAGGGCAAGAGAGCGAGTGGTGGCGGCAGTGGCAGCACCACGCCCGCCAAGTTCTTGAAGGTGAAAGCGACGCCGGTGATGCTGGACGACGCAGAAGACGTTCCCAAGGGAACGGGCGAGTGGGCCTCTCCGCCGAGTTCCAGAAGCGACGCAACAAATGCTGAAGGCACCGAGAAGATCGTTATCCTCCCGTGCACTGCGACAACGACGCAGGGGCAACGGACTGCAAGCCCCATGGCCGGTGACGTTGAGAGGAGCGCGCTGTCCGATAGTCAGCCACGGAAAGTAAAATGGTCTGACACAGAAAAAGACAAATCGAGGGTGGCGGACTCGATTGAGAATTCCAAGCCGACCGGCTTGTCTGTCCGCCAGAAGATCTGCTCCTTCGAAAGCCTCTTCGGCATCCAGGACACACCCCTGTCCGGGCTGAAACCGGGGGACAGGAGGTCTGTGGTCGGGTACGTCCCCGTCGGTCACTCGGACGAGGACAAGCCAACAGCTTTGCTGAGGAAGGACGTCGCGTTTCACGGCGGGAAGAGGGAAAACCTACTGCAGCTCTCCAAGTCAACATCGTTGGACGTTCATTCTTATCAGATGACGGGCAAAAGCAAGGATGCGGCAAAGGCCAAGAGGATCTTCCACGAGAGGACCTCATCCGCGGATGGACACACGTTTACCGACAGGGGTCAGACGGCGAGCGCAGAGAGTTACCTGTCCGTCGACACGAGTCCTCCTCCGGCCGCCGGAGCCGAGCACCATCCCGGGCCAAGCTCAAACTCCGTCTCCCGCTCGAGGACGTCTGGCCACCTCATGAAGCGGCCGAGCGACGATGCTTCGCCCGCTGGGAACTCCGCCTCGTCGAAAAGCGACGGCCTGGAAATCTCGTCGAGCTCGCCAGCGGTGCCGCGATCGCCAGCGGCCCGGTCCGCTCATTGGCGGTTAGAGGTTTTGCGGGACGAGGCTGCGCCAGCTCCTCCTCCAAACGCCGCTGCCGCCACAGCCACCGCTGCCACGGCCGCCACAGCTGCCGCTGCCGCCGCCGCCACAACCACCGCGAGCAGCAGCTCCCCCGAGTCGGCGTCCGACGAGGACAGCATTTCAGCAGCGGACAGCGACAACTGCCAGCTGGATCGCAGCTTCTCCATCAGGTGAGGCGAACGGTGGCACCGTGGCGTGGTGGTGCACAACGCCGGTGGACCCGTGCCATGGAGGCGAGTGAGGGTTGTTGGTTCCCCCAGGGAATTGAGAAACTCCCAAAGCAGCTTGCTTTGGGGTGAGGTGGTCAAACGTGGGAGTTGTGCATAACTTTGATGGATATCTCCTGATTTGTTTCTTCCCGGGTGCTCCAGTCTCCTGCTACAAGTCAAATGCTCATTCATGAAATTGGCCTAACATCTTGATATGAGATCCTCCTGAAATTCTTTGGTTCTTTCGGTAAGGTCACGTAGGTAGAAAATAAAACAAAATAAAAACAATTATTATAAAAATGATCATTATTAAAAATATTATTATTTTTATTTAGTTTTATTTTTCTACCTATGTCACTTTACCGAAAGAACTAAAGAGTATGGATTCCTGCAGTCACGAAAGCTTAAAATCAAGATCCGCCTGAAAAGAAGTATTGAGACTTATTAAGACTATAAATTACGTTATTATAATTTTCCCCCCAATTGTGTCCTGATTGCACTATCGGCATCGCATCTTGAGACAAAGATTGCATTCGGAACTCTTAACATAGCAGTGCATCCCGTCATGTTAGAGAATGAACCGTGGAAGTAGACACTACAGACCTACCAGCTTAGCATTCTGACCTCTGAACCACCGGCCACCTCCAGGGAGCACCGAGTTTTAAGCGAGCGGGGCCCAAAGCAGTGCGGAAGCGTCGTGAGTGTGATAGCGAACGGACGGTGTGGTGCCCCCCCCCCCCAACCCCTACCCCGGCCCCCAAGCCTGGCGGAGCTGAACGAGTCGGCCTCGTCGGCGCTGTGGGACGAGGGCGGGCACGAGCGCTCGCTGTCGAGCAGCTCCACGCTCTCCGTGGCTTCCGTCGCGTCACTGCTTCCGTCAGCCGAGATCGAGCGACTCGTGGAGGAGTCGCGCTCCCTCGGGGACGAGGTCGGTTCCCACCCTGCTGCTGCTGCTACCCCATTCGTCTCGACCCCCCTAGGCCTCCATCCCTTCTAGCAACGCACCCTGCCTGATATCATTTCCTTAACGATCATCATAACTTCATTTCCGCTAGCACCGCTGGGCCATCCCGCCGTGGTTCAGGAGGCCGTCTGGAATGCTCTTCCTTCCGATATTAAGAAGCCGCTGGTGCTATGCACTTTTAAATCTAGATGGAAAAGTCATTTCTTTAAAACAGTTTCTTTAAAACAGAACAGTCATTTTGGTTTGTTGTCCTTCCCCGGCACCGCCGATGAGCACATTTGGCTACGTACGGTGGGACAGAAGTTCAACATGCGTACGTGCAAATATTCGAGTGTCGCTTCCGAGGCCAAAGGCCGTTTGACCCCCCCATCCATTGGCGCGGCGCCGGCGTGCAGGGCCTGGAGGACGTGCGCGTGGTCGTGCTGCACAAGGACGAGGGCGTGGGCCTAGGCTTCAGCGTCGCCGGAGGCTGCGACCAGGAGAACGCTGTCGTCACGGTAACATAACGATTGGCTTCGTCATTTAGTTCACATGCACAACCCCCTTTTGTCAACCCACCGTTGGACGAGGGTGTCACCAATCAGTGCGCAGCGTGGGTGGTTGTTTGACCATACTTCACCATGCCGGTTATTGTGGGTAGGAGGCACGGACGTGGATGCACGTTGGGATAATATACGCCAACCTCTATTGGTCGGTCATCCAAGAATTTTAAGCCCTACTTGGCTTCTGGGATCTGCCAAGATCTGGTGCATTACGGGTGATTTGGCCACCGCTCTTGTATTCAGCCTTGTCAAAGGAATTTCTGCACCCTACTGTAAGTAATATAATAGGGTAACATTTTAAAGTATTATTTTTTTAATGAAATACCTTTTCTCTTATTCAATATTCTTCTTGGAATTCACATCTGCTATTGTATTAATCAATACATTTTATTTACGTGTGCATATACACAAAAAACTCAACACATTCGTCAATAACACTGCTTAAAATTCATATAACATAATAGGCAACGTTGTGAGCAATGTCCCTTCTTCACAGCACACATCTCATCTTCTTGGCGTGCCTCCCATTTAATGGCGATGCCTTTGAAGCTGTGCTTGAATTTCAAAGCAGTTCTTTTAAACCCTACAAATGAAAAAAAATATTAAACATTTTCACGTTCATTCCATCTCGTTCGTTTTGCTACTTAATGAACAAAAAAGTAATCGAATTGCCATCCTCCGCTCTCTCGCGCGCTCGCAGATTCACCGCGTCTTCTCGCGCGGCGTGGCGGCCCAGGAGGGAACGATCCACCTGGGCGATCGCCTCCTCTCCATCAACGGCCGCTCCCTCAAGGGCGCCAGCCACGACGAGGCACTCTACGCCGTGCGCCAGGCTCGTGTGCCGCGCCAGGCCGTCGTGGTCGTGCAGAAGAGCGGCCCTGGCGGTGGTGGCGGTGCGGCGGCCGTGGGACGGCACGCGGACCCGCGGGGCGACGGAGCTTCGGGCAGCGCTCGAGGCGTGGCGCCGGTGGTGTCCGTGGCTGGCGAGGCCAACGCCGGCGATGCCGGAGACGATGGCAAGGAAAAGGGCCGGGATGGTGGCGATGGTGCGTCCCGACAAAGCGACTCTTTTTCAAACCGAAACGCTTTTGGTTCTTATCGTGTAGGAACACACATTGTCGCTGTGTCCCGGGCTGTCCCACGCGGGTGTCCAGTTGCATTCATGAGAAACAAAATACTTGAAAGCAATGGCCAAGAGCATCGTTAAATGGCACTGCGCTTAAATCACCGTGAAGCTGCTGCCAGATGTTTAAAAACGTCAGTGCGGTGATGTCACTCGGGTGCTTGGCAGATAGCTTGACTGCGGATTTTTTTTTTACTTGTAAAGGTTTTCCCCAAATCTCAGTACAAGCGAGACTCATTCATACGAACAGAGCGTGTACGCGACGGGAATGAAAACAAAGTTTCACAATGGACTCGTAGGATTAAGCCGGCATGAGTCACGACAGGATCTTGCAGCGTGCGCTGATGCAATTTAAAAACTGACAGGGGCGAGACGGAGGCCATCATAAAAAACACAAATCGGAGACAGTCGGTGGATTGCAACACGAGTTTTGAGCCGCCCGCTCTGCTCACAACCCTGGGAAAAAAAATATATCTTGACTGTGATTTGACTTTTTTTTCACTAAGCAAAGCCTGAAAATAGCCACGCAGCCCGTGACATGCGGCCTCGGTCTGCAGCTACAAGGCCAGAGCTGATTCATAATCGATATTTGAGTCAGATTGCGCAAGTAAAATGGCAATGTGCGTCGTACGCACTCTGGTGGAGGAGGGTGCACGACACGTGAATCATAATATTTCGTCGCAACAGCCGATGTGTTAGAGATAAGAGCTGTTAGTTTTTGCTATTTTTCCTTGCTATCCTTTACTAAGTGCTCCCCTAATCACTGCGCTGACTGGCACGCGCTCGATTCGATCGCATCGCCGATTGCTCCGATTTGTGTTGGTTTTTGCGTCTCATCGGAATCCGGTTGCCAGGGGAGACGGTGACCATGGAGCTCGTGAAGACAGGCGCGGGCCTAGGCTTCAGCCTCGAGGGTGGCCGCGGATCCATCCACGGGGACCGGGAACTCACCGTGAGACGGGTGTTCGCCGGTGAGGAATCCCTCGCTCACACGCGCACACATTCACACACCGTAATAGACTCAATAACGTGCACACGCCTGAATTTGATGCAGGCCCACATGTGCGCACACACACACACACACGCTTGAATATATACACACACACCCGATACACCAATTCACGTGCGAATGCACGCACACACTCAATTACGCGCGTTCACAATCGCAGCCACACACACACCCAAATGCACTCTTAAATGCACGCACGCACACGCACGCTTGCATACACAAAGACAAGCAAGCGTCTGAACATTTGCTATCCAGTCCACCGCGAATGTGCCCGCACGCCGCTGGTCCCAGCTAATGCCGATGTCGCGTTTCCCCCGCCGTGTTTCTCCGCCGCCGCCACCGCCCGCCCTGCCGCGTCGCCGTCTCAAGCGGGCGGCGCGAGCGGCGTCCACGCCGGCGACGTCCTCCTCTCCATCGGGGACCGCGACGTCCGCGGCCTCTCGCGCTTCGACGCGTGGAACCTCATCAAGGCCCTGCCCGAGGGCGCGACGGCCGTCACGCTACGCCGGGCCGGCGAGGGCGGCGATGACGACGGCGGCGGCGGCACGAGGAGCACCTCTTGAGAAATAGAAGATGTCTTATTGTAATAATAATAATAATGCAATAAGGAGAATGGGCGATTTTAACTCGTGACGCGCCGCACAGCATTCGCTCACTCTAAAAGTGAGAGAGGGTGAGAGGGGGGCGCGAGCAGGAACCGCAGACAGATAAGGAGGCAGCAGGCAGGTGGTAAGCCTGCGCCAGCAATTGCCCAAGCTCTGCGCTCCTCTAATATATTCAGATGTCTTCAGCCAGTTGAGTTTTTTTTTTTTACACGAGGGGGCCAACGCTCTCTCCCGTACGGAAGGGACGGATGTTTGTTTAGTCCACATTTTCATCCAGCAGTATATCGATAGAGGGTTGTACATTATTTTAACGTGCTTTTAAGTAGCTGAAACAGCTGCCCTCCTCCTCCTCCTCCTCAGCACTTCTTTGTGCTAAAGCATCGCCAATAATGTGGATCTAACAACGGACATGCGCACAACCGAGTGTACTGACGAGTGTGCAGGCGGTGTGACTGAACTGCTCCCCACCAATCGCACATTTCCCCATGCCCCCCCCCCCCCATTTCATTGCTCACACCAGGGTCCATGCCGATCACGGTGCTAGGGCACTGGATGGAGAGGCTCGCAGGAAACGCATTGCATACAGCGGTGTACGGATTGTCAAAAAAGTAAAGGCGGGATTCTTGCACATGCGTGATTCGATGCGTGTGCCGCGAGCCTAAAGGATTTCACATTCGTCGCCGGAATCGTTGCACCTTTTACGTAACGTTCACCAGAGTTTGAGCCCTTCTCCTCTGCGCGTAGTCACCGTAAAGTCGAAAGGTCTTGCCACGCTGCACACGGCCTCTTGGCAAATGAAGTCACTCGTAATCCCCCGGGGGACAAACAACAAGAGCTCAACTCATTCGTCAATAACGCTGCCTGCGAACGGAAAATAATATATTCAGGCAAATGCCCTTCTTCGACGAATGCGTTAAAGTTTTTTGTTGTTGTTTGTGCTCTTGTGCACAATTGCCAACGCAGCATCACAAATAAATGGGAATGCATTGGAGCTGTGTTGCTGCTTCTCCCCCCCGCCGCCGTGTCGCGCACAATGAACGCATGAACGCACGTGCTCACTATCCTACGAGTTGGACGGGCGCTCAATCAAAACGGGAGTCATGCTTTAAATAAACAAAAAAGTTTTACGATTTGACGGACATATTCTTTTTTATCACCGTAACTCAGGGTTCAGGATTCTTATTTTCGTTTTTTTCTTTGTGGCGATTCGTATATTACTGTGTACGTATAAAATATCTTTAAGTTACTTCGCACAACGTCGCATAGCCCGCTTGTACGCACACACACATACCTACGAAGATTGAATGGTTCTTAAACAGGGGGCAGCACGAGCCGGGAGAGTTAATAAGAGTGGCGTGAAATTGAACCCTCCAACCCTGCAATTACTGGCACCGATGGTTGGCGCAACAAGGGAAATGCGTCAATGCAACATGGGTGGCGGCAATGCACTGCGCCCCATTTGCGTGACGTTGGGTGGCTTTGGTTTTATAGTTTTAACCGGGGCTTCATTTCAACTGGAGCTGTATGTGGCTGAACTCCAGAAAATATCCCCCCCCCCACCAAAGGAGAAGTGGGGGGCAGGGGAGGGGGGATTGGGCAATGTCCAGCAAATATTTAATGAGAAATTAAGCCCTGGTTTTAGCTCTCCGATATGTTTTCGGGTTTGTACGGCGGGTGGTGTCCAGCACGGTGTCCGATGTTTCGTTCCGCATGTCCGGGAACTTTTTCAGGAACTGAATTGAGCCGCTCACTCTCCCTGGACTATGTGGCGTCGTCTTGGTTGTGGGTTGAGACTTGAGAGCTGTCGATGCCTTGACCTTATGGCAAGCGCGGTTTCAAGCGTTGGACTTTGTGGAGGGCATTTGTTGTCATTTTTTTCTTCCACCTTCAGGCTGCTAGCGTCTCGGATGTGGACTGATGGTAAAAAAATGGTGAAATAATAATAGCGGGAATTGTTTTATTTAATATATTTGATTAAACTCAGCGATTGAAACGGCAGTGGCCGTTGGCTTAAAAAGTGTGTATTGTAACTTAGGCTTGTGATCCTGAGCAGAATTAGCTCATGGGAGGAAATAAAAACAATCCTCTATGGTGCTTTCTGCAACTGGTCACCTTGTCAGCCGTGGTCGATCCACTGCTGGATGAAGGCCCTCCCCTAAGCTGCCGCCGTCTCCCACGATCCTGCAGTGTAACGATCAACCTGGCACCTGCACACGAACCCATTTAATTGCTCCACCTTCTTCGTGGATATCTCAGATTTCAAGGCAATAGACATCTCACATGAGCCGATCGAATCGCTCCATCTCGGTGGACGTCCTCCCATTTCAAGCCAAGAGATGCACAAACAGCCTCCACACTGCCGTGCTGCGTTTAACCGAAGGTGATGTGTGACATCTACAAGTATGGGGGCTGGCGTTATAGCCGCGTGATTTTTCATACTCTACACAATGACAACAAACCTTGAGGCTGTTTTTATTGGTTAACAGATGTTTATTCTGCTCAACAAACAGCCAAGTATTCTCCATTTAAAAAAGCCATTGTCTGCTGCCTTAAAAAAAGTGTTTAATTGCACACTATCGTGTGACCTTTCTCATCACCATTCAATCCTTGACCGAATGTACGCGGAATATTGTCGCTCCAGCTTAGGAAAATATTTCCACTATGAACCAAACTACCATTAAGCTGGTGTGAAACGTGCACTCAATTGTATATATGGAGGTGTCATTGTGTTAACGTTATATTTTAATTACAAAGAAACACAAACGCAAACTGCCGGATGTAAAAGAAAAAAAAACGAGAGTTTTGGTTACCAAAAAAATAATAAAAAAATAAAGATTTTATATTGCTTGGCTGCACATGTGTTTGCCACGTACAGTTTTTGTGTTTTTAAAGTGATGCAAGGGAAGGTGAAAACTTTTTTTTTCTGGGTCAGGGGGGGATGGGGGCGGAATTTAAACCAGGCAGTGTGTGACTTGGCAAGCAAGTTTTTAAGAGAATCTGCCGTATAAACTACTACGGCAGAATTCAGGGGTCAGAGAAGGTGGCTGGGTGGGGACGTTTTGCCTTGTAGTTTGTTTTTGTTATCAGCCAAGGCACTGTTTGATCATTTAATGCGGATTGACTCGAGGGCGGTGAAAGCAATCCACGCGTTCAATAAGCGCCCTGTTTCCGACATCACCCTTGGAGTGTTTTTACAGTTTGGCCCTATTTCGCCATCCAATGAATCGACGAGTCGCCATTCGCGATTCAATGCCAGCACAGATTATTGTTCTTTTCACAGCGGCTGGAGGAAGTCACGTAAAATCCAGTAACGTGCATCATCGGGCCGTGATGTGTCCACTGCTGGATGACGGGTTCCCCGCAAGTATCACCATCGCGCGTTCCTGCGATACGTGTGTAAAAATGGATGCATCTACACCCCCATCCTACCGTTTAACCCGTGTACATTTTTTTTTGTAAATGAAACTTCAGATGCCCATCAATGTGACAAACATTTTACATTCCAACATTCACAAGAAGTTTCAATGCATTAAAACACATTCTTTACGGTTATCGCTGCAGGCGCGCTGATAATTAGTTCTCGTTCACATGACCACACCGACCGACGTTAAAACGGCACAATCGTATCAGTTTTGCTAACACCCCCTTCCTCCTAACATAATGCAAAAATGCATTGTTATTATTTAATAAACTTTCTGTTTAAATTTGTATTATAGTATACACATTTAATATGTATTCACAATGATAATAACGAGCAGCAGCAATCCCCAGGAATGTTTAAAAGACCACAACAAAAATATACATCGAGACAAAGTGCTCACCTATTGGGGCACCTTGTATGCATGCGCAAGGAAAAATAGACACGGGCCCAGTGCAAACACATATATCGTGGCCCAAGTTTGATAAAAGTCACATCGCATTGCCACATTCATACACATCTCTTCCACTGGCACATCCGAGCCACGCACAGTGTGGGGCCCTCGAAAAACGAGAGGTTTTTTTTCCCACTGGAAATTTGCTGAGCCAGAACCAAACCTTAAAACTTTGGCCTCACGTGACATCTGAAATCTGGCTCGGGCTCATCCTGGGGCCAGATAAGGTGGGGTTAATAGTTGTTTGCCCTATATTGCACCGGTCACTACACTTTAACGTGCGAGTCTGACGTAGCGCATGCACTGCTTGTGATGCCAGCAGCACAGCTCAGTTGTGACAGAAAAAAACCTGGCACCTCCTGAGTTGCCCCGGGCTGACTTAGCAAAACCAGACCAGGATGGCTCGGTTGTACAGTGGGGAAAACAATGCTTAACCCTGTACTCAGTAGACCTGCAGGGGCCACACCTGCAGTGGCCACAGCAGCCATCATCAGCTTCTGGTTGAACCTGGGTTCACTTCTCAATGTAGCCATGCTGTGTCGGGGCGGTGAGTGAATGTTCAAGAACATCAGCACAATTCATGCATAATTAAAACCTAAGCCACCAGTGGCAGTGCCCTCTGCTCCGTTATATACCCCGCACCAGGTTCGAATAATTCAAGTGACTTCAGGTTAAATGTAAACACCGGTGTTTCCACCAGTACCTAAGTGATCACACAGCACATTCATTTTGTAAAGTACGGAACGGACAGCACTGCCACCCACTAACCCACACTCGCTTCTCGCCACCGCCTTAATGCCCTTGACAATTAATAACAATCTTCTTCTCTTTAAAAGAGCGACAAATCAAAAATGAAAAATGTCACAAATAATGACACGGACAGCACACAGATCTCCATGGTATCGCAATAAAAAAATATGGAACCGTGCATTTGAGGCCACGCGAAGACATTATTACATTTGGTGGAGGGCCAAAAAAGGGTGAAAAGTGTGGCTGATGGGAGTTGAGACCAACGAGCGGGTGGGTGGCACGGATGAGGATTACAGCGGCGCTCGTTATGGCTTGAGCGTTGTCAGCGCCTTGCTGAGATTACTGTAGAACTCGGCCATCGTGGATGGGAAGAACGAGTCGACGAGGGACCTGGGCAGGTAGCCACCCAGGTCCGTCTGGAAGAAGGTGACCATCTTCGTCTTGTTGGGCTCCCTGCGGTGAGCAGGGCGGGAAAGCGGCGTGGGAAGTCGGCGGCGTTAGGTTAGGGACATGCGGCGATTGCAGGAAATTCGCTTCTTGCATCTCCACTACGTGCTGCTCTCAATAAGATGAGAAAGCTTTAACCGATGAACTCGGTTGGTTATTGTCTTTGATAGGGCTAGGACCAGAGCTAGTCTCACACGTAAACTTTACTGTTAAATGGTGGGTAATACAAGCGGTTCAGACTCTGTATCAAATTAGAAGCTAGGATGAAACGTATTTAAAAGGGCCTCCTAAAGAAGGGGTCACAGCAATCAGAGGCAACGACAGCAGTAGTGAGTGTAATTGGCGAGTCCTTGGAGAGTGATAAAGGAGTTGCCACACATGGAAACGATCAGCCTGATACAGATAAAATGACAGATGCGATGGAGGTAGTTCAAGAAGAAAGCAGCTTCATTTATATCAAGGATATGGTGGAATTTAAACTAGAAGGCTGAGAGGATGAATAGAAACCGAGGAGTGAGTGTGGATGTATACACTCGAGTGAGGAGTGAGTGTGAAATGTGTGGAGTCATTGTGTGTGTTTCTAATGACAGTGGGAGTGAGTGCGCATGTGTGGAGCGAGTGTGCGTTTGTGTGGAGTGAGTGTGCGTAAGCACTCGCATGCGGAGTGAGTGTGCATGTGTTGCACTTGGCAGCAGAGTGTGTGTGTGGAGCGAGTGTGCGCGTGCACACTCAGGAGTGGAATGTTTGCGTGTGTGCACTCGGGAGCGCAGCGAGCGAGTGAGTGTGTGTGCGAGTCAGTGTGTGCGACGTGTGTGTGCACCCGGGAGCGGAGTGAGCGCACATGCTAGTGCTCGTGCTGCGTTACCCGGGCACGGGTAGGCACATGCAACCGCAGGGGTGATTGAATCCACGGACGTAGCCCAACTGGGGCGGGCACGATTCGTGGACCACATGCGTCGCTGCACAGACACAAAGATGCGTGCGGTAATCGGCTCCATTAAAATATCGCTCCCTTCACATTTCATATGAATATACGGGATATGTGAAGCTATACTGTGTCTCTTGAAATGCATTCCTGGTAGAATGAGATGCAATATATGATTGTCATTTTACGGGCACATCCAAAGCTGACTGGAGATGAGTAGTTGTAAATTGTAATTGCAACCACAAAGGGTTGCAGTGAAGAGTAGCCACAGCTGTTGCATCTGAAGCGTCCATCTAAAATGTCTTATCTTGACACTTATTTGTTTCGTTACACGCAGTGATAAAGAATATGTGTCCCTACTCACCCATTTCATTTCAGTATTTTATAATTATCATTGTGAGGCTGAATTAATTGTAATAATACAGGTGATGTGTTTCACAAGGAAGAAATGTACATTTACATGTCACCAAAATATTTTTCAAAAGTGTTGTTATCAATGAGGATTCAGAAGTTCCAGTCTCTTTGTCCCCAGAAACTGAGTTTCAAGTCATGTTCCCAGGAATTTTGGGATTCCATAAAACGAGAAAGCAAGCGGGCTTAGAAACTGTGACACTTGCGCCCTCAAGTGGTTGCATATAAGACCTACTATGTTTTAACAACATAAATAAGCATACAATACGTCTTCCCTCATACATCTGCACAGGTATCTCGACGTAAAAATATAAATAATTTCCTACAGGACATATCAGCCGCACGGACTGCTGGGAGTGCGCAATATCAACAGCATTGATTCCAGACAAGCAGACTCCGCACCGGTTTCGACAACACAGTGTCCCAATCTCGCCTCTCCGGCGTGTTAACTGGTTGAGCCCAGCACGCACTCGCGAGTGAGTCGCGCACGCGTCTCACCGTTGGAGGCGATGGAGCCGTCGTCGTACCGTTTGACGAGCACCACGTCCACAAAGTCACGCGCGGAGATCACGCCCATGGCAGCAGACGAGGTGATGGTGCGACACACAGACAGCTCCTGAGAAAACAAATAATCAGTTCTCATTCTTCTTCGTTCGTTTGGCGCGGAGTTTGTCAGCAACGTTTACACGTCCATGTCGCGGCTGGTGAGCGAGCCGGTGGATGGCTTCAGGAGTAGCCTCATGGTGAATGTCTGAACTACTGCCAGTAAGTGATCAAAGTGTGCAGTGGCGGTACTCTGCGGTGTATCAATTTCCAGGTCGCTGGTTCGACTTGAGTAGGCGCCTTGACTAGTAATAGTCACAGCCATACCGAGAGAAATTATGGATGTGGTGTGCCTGATGCAGAAAATATTTTGTGATTGTCAATCTGCTGAACAGACAGGGCTGAAATTATACCTTGCAAACAACCCCCACGATCGACACAGCCAGGACAGGCCTCCACCCAAAAGCAGATTGACAAAGGGGCTCGCCCAGCCGCTGTTGATCTTCTCTGTCGTTGCCCGTCACGCGAGCGTACCTCGTCCAGCAACTGCAAGATCTGGAAGGCGCGCACGTTGCGATCCCACTTGACGCGGAGGCCGTCAGGCGTGGGCTTCACGAACTCCCACAGCGCGTCGGGGGCCATCTCCAGTAGACCCTCGCCTTTGTACCTGGTGTCAGCGGGCGCCGAGCACAAGTTTACGCGATTATTTTAAAGCCCTGGCTTTTCATTTCATCATGTGAGAGGCACGCATAGCACTTACAATTAGCAACATACGTACATAGATATGTGGTGTTTCTACTACATCTGTATATAATTTGGGTATAGTGTATTCATGACATTTTGAATCTAGATTGAACTAATTTCTTTAGTACTGCTTTTGGTGTTACATTTGTCCTTTCCCCGCACCTCCGATTAGCATGGTTTGGCTACATACGGTGTGAAAGATGTCCAACATACATACAAATGTGATGCTTGTTAAAATTAAAATACAGTACCATATCAATGTCCACCGTCACCCATCAATAGAAGGTCACTTTCTCCTCAGCCTGTCCCTAAGGTCTGGAATTATCTCCCACCGGCAATCCCATCTTTTGACTCACTGTCCCCTCTTGAAATCCAGGCTTATGACTTTCTCTTCCCTGCCAATGACCGACTGCTTCTTTCTCTTGTTAACACAACAATAATAATTTCCCCCATGATGCCCCTGTCCCACTGTTTTGCAGTGTCTCAAGACGAGGTTGCATTTAGACTGGCTATATAAATCCAAAAGGTAATGTTTTGTAACATGAAATCAAATACTAAAAGTTAATTTAGGATATATTCTTTGGGTCTTTCGGTAAAGCCACGTAGATAGAAAAAAAATTATAAAAATAATAACAATATCACATAATAACAATATAGTGATATTGTTATTATTTTTATATTTTTTTCTATCTACGTGGCTTTACCGAAAGACCCAAAGAATATGAATTCCTGCAGTCACGAAAGCTTTAAGTAAAGATTTAATTTAGGATGTATAGTTTGTACACGCATGTTGTAGTTTTTCTTACAGGTAGCCAGGAAATTCTGTAGATGCTCTCCACGATATGGTAACAAGTTTCTGCAAATACAAAAAAAAACAAGCAGTAAAATATTAATGCCTAAAAGTCTGCTGGGTGGAAACATTCTAACCAGGCAGTTTTATTCTAAACGTCAATTAGCCATATTTACATATTGCAAATTAGCACCATAATTACAATGATTTCCAAGCTATCTATCATTCTTAATGAGGCATCATGGTTGTTCTTTGCCTGCTGTAATTGTTGCGTCGTCATTATATGTTTATGAAAGAAGATGGAACTGAAAACTAAACTGCCATTTAGATTAACGTACAGTGCTGCGTGTGATCTTTGAGACCAAGGCAACATGTTGCATAATTAAGCTTTGGCAATCCCCTTAGACAACAGTGTTTGCCATAATAGGGTTTGTTCCCCTTTTTCTGGCAACAAAACTGAAACCTTTTTACAAGGATTCATGTCTGCATTAACCACAATACCTGCAGTCAAAATGCAAACAAAAAACATACTATGGTAATATATGCATTGTGTGGACCAATCAGTTTCAAGGACAATGCATATATTATCATAGTATGTTTTTTGTTTGCATTTTGACTGCAGGTATTGTGGTTAATGCAGACATGAATCCTTGTAAAAAGGTTTCAGTGTTGTTGCCAGAAAAAAAGGGGAAAACCCTATTATTACATTTTGGTACTGGCAAAGGTCTAATGAAGTGTTTGCCATATTTTACAGTAAATCCCATGATATATATTGAATTGTTAATCTACCAACACAAGTATGGTTTTACATTTTGACAAACGCAGTTTAATTATTTTAATACACTATCAAGTCCTCAGTTTCAATTAAAAAAAATTCACGTGAGTCCTGCACTGATGGGATATTTAGCCAATTCCATTCATGTGTGTTTGTCATGTGGGAGGAAACCCGAGTCACCAGCGACAATCAACCACGTATATAACAAGGGTGTAGGTAACACACACACACTGAAAGCTCTGCACAGACTGATCCAGCAATTAAGTTGTGACTGCACCGCCATTGTCGTGGTCATCCCACGAGCCAGAGAAACGCAAAGCAACGTCCAACTCTGAAAACCTAGGGGCTCTTCACTCACCAAGCGCCACCCCCTCACGTAAAAGTGACTGCAGCCCAGCCTTAACAAGTTAAGCTCTAGGAGGCGCTATGAACAGCTCATTCATTACGCAACACCGGCCTCACACCACGTGCCGTCCCTCATTGGCGGCTGGCAGAGTGGCCTCATGTGACGACACCACGTGCCAGGGCGGAGGCATAGGAGCCACTGGCTGTAGGCGTAAAAAAGGTATATGGAGCCTCTCAAATGTAAAGGGAAATATCAACGCCGGTCATGAGTTCCTGACCTTGAACTTACGTGGATTTCCTGTTGCTACACCCACTTATTTACGTTTACAATGCCGTGTAAACGTAAATAAGTGGCAGCACACGTGTGTGACTGCTGGGCACATTTACAGTTATGTTGTCAAGGTACGGCTGGATGAGGGCCACCTCTAGCCCACGCAATAATTTAACGTCGCATTTTTACTTTTTTTTTACAATGTACTGTATATTTCATGACTAAGCAACTGGCATCTTGTCATTCTCAAATCCCTATTGTGAGAAGAGACATTTCATGACAACTATAAAATGGAACGCGTCCGTGCGGGCGACCCCAGCGGGGAGATGGAGTGATGAGATCGCTTTGTGTGCAGGCGCGGGATGGATTGTTACGCTGCGCGATGGTCACAGGTGACAGCGCATTTGGGGGAAGCCTTCAACCAGCAGGGGCTCGAACATGGCGAGTCGGTGACACCGCCTCCAGAGGCATCATCGATGCGAGTCATCGGTCTGACAGCGCCACCTACAGAAGTCAATTCGTCTCTGCAAACTCATTGCCATGACAACATCTTCGGCGAAAATACTGGAGTGTCGTGGGTGTCGTGGCTATTAACACGGGTTGGAGACTCGGCGCAGCTCCGTTTTTGTGGCGTGGTTTCAAAACACGGAAACCGAGGCGTCGCTTAGAGCGAGAAGGGATCTTCAGTTCCATCTGCATCGCTGCACCACGTGGGCACTGGACAATGGACCACAAGCCAAGAACCATGCAACCAATGATGAAACTGGCGGCACGAATCTGCGACCTGATCATTTAACTCTCCACTCTAAACATACCCCTTACAACGAGCACAACAACCACTGTAACCCCAACCGACCTTGAACCTTACCCTGAGTCAATGGGTGGTGAACCTATAACCAACCTCCACCCGCAGGTCGCAACCTACGGGGTAATGTACCTATATCCTGCCCACAGCCGCAACATTTCCCAAGGGATAAACAACAACAATTGTTCTGTCAGCGCTTTTAAGTCACTGTGCGCGCTTCGTTCTAGTGCACTATGCGATGTCGCCAGACACGATGTGTTCCGAAAGCGTTCTTAATGGTTAACGCAACGTGTGCGCGTGTGTGTTAATGTGTGGTTGCGCAACAAAAGCATGCAGAGAGTCCAGTTCGGCCCTCAGATTAATGTTTCTGCTATGACACCCAGGATCCTGGATCCCCGGCTTAATTGCGTTATTGTCGATCGAGGTGCCATCGTGGCCAAGGCCGTTGATAGTCATCACGTCTTGCCAACGACCTATACTCTCATCGACCAGATCCATAGACCTGGGGAGCTCCACTACTATGACAAGTGAACCCTGGACCTCACAGCTAACCCTGATCCCTGCATCCTGAAACAGGGAACGGGACAGCTCAATCTTATATCGTGTCAAACCCCTAGACGTGGAGGGAATTAACAGCTGGAAAGGCTTCTTCTTCATAATAAAGGCGTTTGGGTTCGATCGCCCAAGTATAAATGTGTCGCAACCCTCCACCACCCGACATGGCCAATCAGTAAGAAATTTTGTCACGTTAACAAAACGCCAATTAGTTATTTCTTCAGCCCACCGGTGTGTTTCTTATTATTATTCGTGACTCCTGTCCAACCTCTCTCGTATTTGACCAATATTCTGCATAGGCCACCGCTTCTGGTGTTGGGCATTGCCAAATCTTGAGGATGCACTGTGGCGCTGCAGGGCATCTGAGGAGATGATCCATGGTTTACATCTCCTGACCAGCCCGTGGACACTACTATTATAAACCCTGGATCACCTGTCAACTTGACAACTGGACCTTAACCCCAGACCTAAACCCTTCCATCCCTGCACCTTGCATCGAGAAGAAACGTGACAACTCCAACCCTGGTCCCGAACCCTACCACACCTCAACTTGACAGCTGGACTTGACAGATCCCACCTATTTGTAACCTTAGACCCTGGACACTGTGACACCAGACCTAAGCATGCACGCTGATCTCCTCCTCTCGACCCGGCGCCCATGAACTACTAATCATCCGATCAGCACGGTTGGCCACGTACGGTGCGAAAGAAGTTCAACATACGGTGGAGGTTACGCAGCCCAGGTCACAAGGGGAGGAGGGGCTTCAATCTCAATAGCAACGCCGCGCAAAACTCACGTTGGACTTGGCGACTCGCCAGCCACCGTCGTCCTTGCTGTAGCCCACCAGCTTGTCGGCCACCGAGTCCGCCATGCCCCTGTAGTCGGCGAAGAGAGAGGAGAGAGCCGCGCCGCTCATCTTTGCCGGTCGACGCTCGTGGTGTGACAGTCGTCGTGGTGGTGGTTGAGGGTGGTGGGGGTCCTTTGCGCGATGACGTCACCGCGCGCGACCCGCAAGCGACGCGGTGACGCCGAAACCGCACCCGCCGTGGTTTTACGTCACCGCGCACGAGTTCATCGAGAAGCGCGATAATTCGATGGAGTCGTGACGCACGGATGCGCAACGCCGGGGTTGGGGAGAGGGGGGGGAACGTAAACGCGTCACAGCGCGCACGATAGCAACAGGCGATCCTCGAGTCTCTCTGAGTTATGACGCGAGATCGCCAAAGCGAATTTTATGCAATGGCGGCGCTCACGTGACGTCATAGCTTGGAAGCCATCGCGCTCACGTGACGTCACACTTCTTGAAGGTCACGAGCTCTCGTGACGTCACAACTTGAAGGTTTTCGAGCTCGCGTGATGTCATAGCTTGGAACCCCTTCGCGCTTGCGTGACGTCACACAGCTTGAAGGTTTTCGCGCTCGCGTGACGTCACGCTGCTGGAAAGCCTTTTTTTGTGCCTGCGTGCCCTCACACCGCCAAGGCTTGCGTGGCGTCATCCTTCTAGAACGTGCTGCGTGACGTCATTCGTCCGTTTCCTCTGTTTCGGGTCGCCACCGCCTCGCGTTTTCTCTTCCCCCCCCCGCTCCCAACAAGAGCCGAGAGGCGCTCATTACAACGCTCGGCCGATAGGGCGGCAAGCCAACATACGGTGGAGCTCTTCCCACGCAGTTCAACTCCCAAACCCCCCCACCCCTATACCACCGCCTATCTCCAACCGAGTTCGACCCCGGGTTTGCGGGTTCCTCTGGGCCCATGAGCCTGCACGACCTCTTCCGGGGATTGTTCGGGCTCCGAGGCCATGGCGGTGGCGGCGGTGGGAGTCGCGGCCCCCAGTGAGTGCCAATATGCGTCCATAATCATCATCATAAAGTCATGTTTCACAGGACGGTGGTCAAATCCACTGCTGGATGAATGCTCCCACCCCCGCCTGACGGCCGCCCCACGCTGCGTCGTTCGTTAGGGTTGATCGCGAAAGCTAAGCAGGTTAAACAAGCGACGCGCAATCCGAGTTCAAATCCTGTTTTTGAGGGGGTTTACTCGCCCATAATCCATACGAGGTCGATTAAAAACACAGTAAAACATTGTGGGGAAGTCTACATTGGTTATCCCCTCTGGAAAGTCTTGTCCCCGCCACAGGAATGAGGAATTTCCATTACTGTCTGGGGAGCTCTACACGGGAGATGGACGATGAGGGTAGCCCATCACAATCTGTTACTTTCCACCTTCCTACATATACTCACCGCTTTGTACACTGACCAGCGTGGCGAAGTTTGGTCAAATAACACCCACGAACCGCACAGGCGTGAGAAGAAGGCTTTCATCCAGCAGTGGATTGGCACCAAGGTGTTAGGTGGCATGCACTGTATAACCATTACACGTGTCCGCGTTGTGCTATACTGCCTGATACAAATAACACCGACGGAGGGGGGGGGCCTTTACACGTGTGCGTGGCACAGCTAAAACGACGTGGCCTAAAACGTGAAAGTGGACAAACGTTGAAAAGGCGACAACGTTGGAGCAAGGAAGAGCAAACTTAACCAATACATCACCATCTCTAAACAACCAACCACTCAGTACTGTAGTAACACTCTCACCTGAACCGTTACCAACTCGGCTAGCTAACCACTCATGCTCGCCCTTCCCCTACTCGTCAACCAGCCACGACTACTCGCCCTGCCAATCGCCTGGACGTTACTGGAGAAACCAGAGAAATATTATCTTGTTCACAAGCCCACTAAGTTATTAACTTGCCCACTGACACCCGACCGCTAACCCTCCTGCCTCTGACCACTTAACCAGGGTTTTAACTTTTGGTTGACTTTTAAGAGTTGTCTATGGAATCGTTTTAGGTAACCGTATGAAACCATCATTTCCATCATCGCTGCCAACTTTCATTTCGTCAGGACCTGAGCACCCCCAACCGAATTATGAATATAGAAGTAACCACAGGCAGTACATGTGTAGTGGCATCCATGGAGACACACACACTAGAACTTGGATGCAACACGTTTATTACAACACCCCCGACAGCGTAACTACATAAACGTACGGGATAACGACATAGGTGGTAGCTATCTTCCACTAGCGACTAAACGACAACGGGCAACTACATAACCGGGTCAGGTCTGTAACGTACTGCCTGACCCACGATGCTGAACGTGACGACCAAAGACTGAAGATCGAGGAGACTTAGCATGGCGGGTGGATTCCAGAAGACAGCCCGGATCGGTGCTCGGGACTTCCCTTTTATGCCCCTGAGCGTGGCCTGGCCCTGCCCTAGGTCACGCCCCCTTCTAGATCCTACTAAAAGGTTCTGGGCCTTATGTCACGTGTCCCTCTCGCCAACCCTTGCCCCCCCTCGCTACCCTCTCCTGGTCACGTGCCCTCTCGGGTTCACCCAAACTATCATGTCCTGAAGTGCCCTCTCTCCGGCCGTCACCAGAAGCATTGCCCCTCGGGCCCGCTTCTATGCCATACACACTGGTGCCAGAGAGAGACGCTAACATGCACAGTGCCTTCCAATAGCTGGCGCTAGACGCCATAGTGACTCAATATACAGTCATACCTCGGTATACGACCGCTTTTGAATACGTCGAATTTGGTATACGTCGTGTTTTTGACGAAAAAAATTTCTTGGGATACGACGCGCTGGCTAGAACTTGTATGGGTCGGGATGAGTCACCGCGTACCCGCGTAGACCCCGTTCACGACTTAAACAAAGCGCCGCTCCTCAGTCTGCCTGTAGATCTCGTTCAGTACACAACCCCCTTGCTATAACTCTCTGTGAATTTTCACGTGTTTTTTTGTCATTTTAACTCCTCTAAACAAGGTAAAGCGATGTTAAATTTTATTTTTATTTCAATTTATTTTAATTTATGCATTTATTTTAATTTATGTATGCATTTTAGTAATAAGTAGTGTCTACATTATGTTATGCAACCCCATTAATGTATAATATGCCATATAAAATATAATTTCTTATACTCTGGAACGGATTATTTCCTTTCCCTTTATTTTTTATGGGAAAAATTCGTTTGGTATTCGTCACTTTCGGTATAAGTTCTACCTTCTGGAACGAATTAACGACGTATAACGAGGTACCACTGTACATCACCACACATGTGCATACATATTTCGTTTGCTGCAACACAGGTAACGAGAGGTGGCGGCAGCTTGGGGAGACCTTTATTATCTCAGCTCATGATGATGTCTCTATTCGAGAGAGAGAAAAAAAACAGATTTGTATTGAGCATTTGAAGGATATTACTGTTGGCGGGTTCTTGACAGCACATCAAGGGCAGCTGTGTCACCGCAGCATTATTACCGACTGGACATAAACTCCCAAGGTGCCCTCGTGCACGTATAATAATACTGCAGTGCGCAGGCTTCGCCTGCCCCATATTCACCCGAATGTAATTACAACTCTGCACATCCTCATCAATCGTGTGTTTTTGTTAAACAGCGCTACAGCTCACGAAGTATGAAGTAGTGCAGTTTTAGTTAATCAGATGTCACAAACGACGCAGATTTGATACGAGATGGTGCTTGGACGTATGACCACAAAGACAAGATAGCAGACTGTTGGGGCACGTGCTGTTTTGCAAGCACCTATGAAGGCCGGAACGGCACACGAAGGCCAGCACCATGCCCGGCCGCCTTTATCTCCCCAGTGGTGATGTTTACACATCGCACCAGTTACTCGTTTGAGGCTGAGTCGAACTTGAGGAGGCCCTGGACCGGTTCAGATATTCGTTACTGGCGGTGGCAGTGAGCGGGAATCCAACTTGGGTCCGCATGGTTCGTAATGCAGCGCGCTAACCCCTACACTACCGCTCCCCGTGACTGACCACAGTAGCCTGTGGGTTGCTACGTGCTGTGAAGCAGAGGGCAATGTGTCAACTACCTACACTGTGCTGCAACGAATACGCTCCCCGCCCACTTACCGCTGTGGTGAAGTATGGTCAAATCGCTCACACGGCGTGGGGAAAGGCCCTCGTCCAAAAGTGGATTGACGAAAGAGCCGTAGGTGTTAGTTACATCGTTGGGTGATATGAAGGACTCCCCCATGGCAGTTTCTTTATAATTACAAGCTGTGCATTCTATAATTGGTAAAGGGGTAAAAATGCAGCAGCCCTACAATTCTAGATTTAAAGTTTTCGTGACTGCAATGATCCATACATTGTTTCTTTCGGTAAAGTCACGTAGGTAAAAATAAAAATAAAGTTAATCAAATCACGACGTTTCGGAGGCAACACAAGCCGTTGATGATGGAAGCTTGTGTTGCCTCCGAAACGTCGTGATTTGATTAACTTTATTTTTATTTTTACCTACGTGACTTTACCGAAAGCCCTACAATTGCTTATTCTCGCCCACTGTGGGGGCAGAGAAGGACCTACACAGAGAACCCCTTTTGCGGGTATTTGGCCTACTCTTCCCACGTCTGGCCAGACGGACACCGAGTGAAAGAGGCGGGAGCATCCACAATTTAGCCCACCGCATATGACCTGCCGATTGACTTCACAGTATCGCTGTTTATGCTGCTGGGTGGACAGAGGCTGGGTGGGGGCCGGGAGGTGTTAAGAAATTGACCCCCATTTGAACTGCTGCCGCGCCAGGCGATCGAACCGAACCCGTCGTTGGTCAATGGTGACACTCGACGTTTTATCAATAAGCCAACGGCACCGCACAGTTGTCTTCACAGAGATGTGCGAGAAAAAAAGACATAAAATAAAAAAAAACTTTTTTAAAAACACGCTTTAATGAAATGTACCGTACGAGTAATGTCAGAACTCCAGGAAGTGGCCTCGAAGCTTGCCATAACGTAAGGGGACCGTGGTCATTTACAGTCAACGTCAGTTGACAGTGGACAATTAGACCCAAGCCGAAACATAACATATAAAAAAGATTGTTTCAAAATATGTTTTATTTTTAATGATAGAATATAGTATTGTCATCAGTATGACATGAGTATACATTGGGAAGTGGGTTAAAATTGAGTTACAAGATTAGAGGATACGACAACAATAAAAGCGTGTAATAATGATAAACGCGTGTAATAATGATGAAAGCGTGTAATAATAAGCAGAATGGACTTGGGGATGGGCCTTGCGGTTTTGTAAGTTCATGTCGATCCCACAACCAGGGAGCAGCAGCCACACGGGTTCTCCCCGATCGACGATGGACGCTAATGTTAGACCATGCCGCGCATAGTTTCCACGTTGGGGAAACGTTTTGAGTGTGCAATGTTATATATACCTCTTGGACACGCGTGGAATTAACCATTAGGTTTATAACTACCGTGTAATGAACAATTATCGTCATGTTACAAAAAAAATGTACGCATGTAAAACACGGTGGTAATTTTCTTCTTCGAAAAAACACCACCTTTAATGTAATTAAGTTCAGTATAGTGTGGGTTAACCTTCAACCTTAGCGTAGGTTGGGTATGCAAAGGAAATTACATTTAACTTTCGGTGGGGGGGGGGGGAGAATGCGAAACGTGATCATGCCACGTGGTGGCGCTATGTGATTGACTTGAACTACTTTTTCCCTTCCCTTGCCTGTCTCGGCTCCAAGCGCCTTTTCACCACCACCACCATTGCTCTCAATGTATGGCCTCCATCCTGATAGACTCGATGTTCAACCAATTGGGGGAGCCTGATGAAACAAGGGTCAAAGTGATATCATTTGTTTGGTGATACTGCGTTCGCAGTGGTGCAAAAGCAGAAAAAGTAAAAGCATCGCATTTGTTAAAATAACGTCCTTCGAAGGAAAAATATGAGACAGTGGTTTCTCCATTCAAACAAGTGTAAGACGGTCCTCATCTTATGTTTATAGCGCTGAGCGAGTCGTGGAAATTCCACATTCCTATTGCAAGTCAATGCATAGGACAACCTCTAGATTATTATCACCGTATTTTTTTTTACATAGAAATACCCATTTTAGCTATAAGAGTGATGTACAGCTGAATCGATGCTCAACTGGGATTTTAATTAATCTGTAGCGTTTTGGGTGTGAGAACCACACGTTATAACTACTATTCCTTCAACTGGATAATGCGGAACACAGTATAATGATACAGCCCTTTGTCAATCCGCTTCTCAATGAATGCCTCCCTGGCACTGCACTACAAACCCGGCGACTCGAGTTCGATTTGCCCTTACAATCAAAAACAGTGGCGAATATCTGAACTGATTATGGGCCTCCCCTAGGTCGATTCAGCTTTCAATCATTACCCGGTGTGGTGTCTTAACATCAGCAGCACGGAGGAGACAAAGGCTGCCGAACATGGTGCTTGCCACCCCCCACCCCATCGTGTGCCTTGCGCACCTTCATAGCTGCTCACTAACAGCACTTTACCCAACAGTCTGTTAAAGGCTATATGGGCGATCTTTGTTTTTGTTCATTATACAATACAGTGGCTAATAGCATAAACGAGGGATAGATGATCCTTATGGCGGTACCCCGGGGTACCAAATAATATAAAATGGCCGAGGCAATTAAATGTTTTATTTCTGGGATACAATTTTCTCCAGGGGTGTTACTTAACTCCGCGGCTGGGGTACCAATCAATCCGAAATCGGTGCCACTCCGCGATGTCGAAACGCAGCGAGGACGATTGCACTGAAACCCTAAACGCTCGTACGCACCACGGTGCATCGTGAGTACAGCTCGTCGAGATGAGTCGATTGCCGCATCGCCGACCATCAACAGACTAAAAATGACTGCATCACGGACATTATGCGAGAGCCGGGGTACTATGGTACCCCGGGGTACCACCATGAGGTTCAGATGTTACAAAATGTATTTTAAATGGGCAAACTGAAGCAACAGAAGAAACATTGCAAACCAATGTATAAGTTTAAGGAGAACAAACTTATAACTGTAAGAATGTCTACTTGTATCTTCCCCCTCCTCCCCCCACCACTTCAGGGACTTCGAGGGAAGTTTTTTCGGGGGTCCGTGGCGCGACGACGAAGATGACGATCACCACTTCGGCGGCTTTGGCCTCTTAGCAGATGACGACGAGAACGATGATTCATTCCCGCCCGGTTGGGGCGGGGCCAGAGAGGGCGACGGAAAGCGCTTCGGCTTCGGCCTGAGCGTTGGGCCGGAAGGGCTGTTCCGTTTCCATGACAACCTGGGCTTCGGGAACATCTTGCACGAGATGGAGCAGCTCTTCCAGAACATTGACAGCACGATCGCGCAGCCGCCGCGTCGCTTCGGTATGCCGCGGCCACAACCGTGCCGGCGCTAAGCCCCGTTGTGCACATCGGTGACCTTTACAAGGAACTTAACCATTTTTTTAATTGTGATACTGCGTTGGCAGTAGTGCACATGTAGAAATAAGCAGAAACTCAACATACATCTGTCAATAACGCTCCTCGCTCTAAAGCGGGAAAAATATATAATGGGCGACGTTTCGGCAACGGTCCTTTTCCGTCGCAGAGAGATCAACAAAATGATTGTTATCAAGACCTTCGCTCTGTGGAGCATCAGGCACTGTTATTCTAAGATAAAGCAATGGCAGGCTTGGCGTGGCATTGTTAACGGACCAGTCGGCAATGATTGCTGTGGTGTCACGTCGGGCTTTGTCCGGATTGATGCCCTCCCCTACCCTCTGGCCATGCACTCGCTCCATCAGGAAGCCCAGCCACATCATGTGATGTTACATTATCGCCCGATACTTATGTAGGATTGCTGAGACGCTTCAAGTGGTGGTTCGGAGATACTGTATCAGCAGTTCGAACGAATGGCAACTCTGTGGTCACTGTGTATCGCCTGGGAAAAAAATCGCAGTCAAACAATATCAAGATCATAGATTTGAGTCTCAGCTTCTGAGTCGAGGTCATGTATGAATAAGAATTCGGTGGTCTCAGCCTGGTCACTGATGATTACAAAAGAAGACTGAACATAAACATTAAAATGTGGCACTTATTTCAGTCCAGTCCAACCCTCTAGTTTAAAATTCCAGCATTTGATGTGAATCGAGCCATATATTAATTGTATTTGAGACCTGGTGGAGAAATATTGAAAGTGGGGTTTTTTTTTGTCTCATAGGATCATCCTCTAATGTTGCTTTGTCTTGTGGGGATTCCCAAGAATAGTGCATTTTGTTTTGAACCTCGAAGTGAGAACTTTTAATTATGAGAAATATTTACCCCATGAGTACTGTTAAAATTGACAGAATGTCATCATTGTTTTAAATGTGTTACCTTGAATCTTGACTTAAAGCTTTCGCGACTCAGGAATTCATATTCTTTGGATCTTTCGGTAAAGTCACGTAGATAGGTTCAAAGAAAATAACAAAAAACTACGACATTTCGATCGCAACACAAGCGGTCGACCGCTTGTGTTTCGATCGAAACGTCGTAGTTTTTTTCTTTCGGTATTAGTCACGTAGATAGCTTCAAAGAAAATAGCAAAAAACTACGACGTTTCGATCGGAACACAAGCGGTCGACCGCTTGTGTTGCGATCGAAACCTCCTAGTTTAAAAAAAAAAAAATTATTTGAACCTATCTACGTGACTTTACCGAAAGACCCAAAGAATATGTGTTACCTCGGTTAAGTCGATTGCCTTTTAGTTGAACATTGTTTGCATGATATCAAAATAATGCTTATCCTTTTACTCTATTTTCCTTTGAGTCGGACTTTTAGTGACACGTGAATTTGATTATAATGCACATGGATCGTAAGTGGGAATAATATATAAATACCCAAAAAAATCCATCACTTATACACCAAAATAATGGTGTTGTAACAGAATTTGTGCCATCTTCCTATTTTCACGGTAGACCTGCCTTTGCTTCTAGGGCCTGATGACCAGCCGGGCCCGAAGGAAGGGCAGTCTCTCCGAGATTACATGCTCAAGAGCCCCGACGACGAACTTCGTGCCGGACCCCACACTCCCTCCCGTGGGGGGCTCCCGGGCAGAGGTGGGGGCCACAGCGGGGACCCGCGGCGTCCTCCCGAGGACAGCTCGCCGCCCAGCAACCGGGGATCGTTCGACGGGCTGCCAGCACATCCCTCCAGACCATTCGACTTGGTATTTGTTCGTTTGCAAATTTGTTTAAGTTCGTTCTGATTCTTCTGTACGTCGGTTGTGAAATGCCGCGGTGCAATTAATGGTGAGACTTTTTATTAGTTTTTTTTTTATATTAACTGTTTCACCCCCACAATGGTTTAGAACGTTTCCTTGCCCCGTTTGATCGTTAATAGTCACTGCCTGCATTTTTGTTTTTATATTTTATTTTATTTTAGATTTTTTTGTTTACTGAGAATAACAAAAGCATGTCCAGCAAACATTAGGGTTTTTAAATTTTGTTATAATTCCTTTTGGAATCTCATTGTTTTCATTTGTTTAAACGCAAGCGTCCTGCTTCTTACAAGTATTATTTGGAGTGACTAGATTGTGTTTTGTGGTTGAATGCGGAATGCGCTTTGGTTGCTCGTGGGAAGACGGCGAGTTTGCATAAACCCGTGCGATTCTCCCATCGCTCGTCAATGCAAGATTGACTTGAAACAACAGTTTGACAAGACGAAATTCACGCTTAGGACGTGTGAAAAAAATATACATAAAGAGAGGGAGTGCTGAAAAGCCGTAGAGTTTAAAAACAAAACAAAAATCCCCCCCAAAAAAAGGATCAAAAACTTTGCCTGAACAATGTAGCGTTCCCTTTGGAATTCGATTCGTCACCATAAAAGTGGCGGGGCTGATGGAGATGGATATGGAAACCCGGCGCGTTTCGTTCTCGACGGGTGAAATCAACGAAACCGTCCTCGATTTATGTTTTGGCGGGCGAGCACCGCGGTAATTTACGACCGAGCCCGTGACATTTATTTATTTTGTGGGCACTCCAAACACCTCCCCTCTCGCCTCCCACCCACCACGTCCCTCCCTCTCTCTCTCACTTGGCCTTAATTTTGAATTAAAATGAGATCGCCGGTTGCGCGCGCTGCACGCTCGCCACCCTTTCGCTTACATTCCGGCCACGGCTGATTGCGACCCCGTTAATGTGTAACTGGGACTAAATCGCCTCAAAGTCACGGTCTGTAACTAGACCACTGATCTACAGCCCACAGTGCTTTTTTTTTGGTCGCCTTGCTGCTGTTTGCAGTGCGTTCTGTGCCCGTTGTTTCGTACAAAAGATCTAACGTTCAGGTTTTGTAACGTTTTATTTTATTTATATATGTACATTTTGGGTACAAGTGCTCAGTATGTCATAAGCCGTGATCGCATTTTTTCAAAATGCCATTTTGCAGTGTTTTTTTCAACTGAAAATGAGCTTGGTAAGATGCTTATTTGCAACAAATGTTTGTTATTTGCATTTTTGCACAAATATAGTGCTGTATTAAATCGCACTGTGCTATGAACCGCCAGCCAGAGTTCAATTCATGGCCACGGCTAACATCAGTGACGACTGATATCTGGACCAATCCTGGGCTCCTCCCTTTACCCCGTATTGACCAGCGTGGTGAAGTATGGTCAAACAACCCCCAACCCCCCGTGATAAACATGCCTTGGTGGCGCATCCATGCAGCAGTGGATTGACAAAAGTGCCGCACAACGATGTATTAATTATAAATCTATTTCTTGCTGGGCGCTTTGATTGTTCTTTTGTTTTTCAGTTTGATTTTTTTAGGAGAGGATTTTTCCAGCCACCCAAGCACCTTCCCGCAGCCAAAGAGGACCAGGGTAAGCCGCGGCCCGTGTCTCCGCTTGTGCGCGTGCGTGCGTGCGTACGCGCCGCTAGGAAGCACATTTTAACATACGTCTGCGTGCCACGCCGCACGTACGCCATTACAGAAACCACGTAACCACGCAAACGCAGAGAAAAACGCCCGCCGTGCCGCCAAAAGTAGCCTTAATGCCATCATTTTCTATAAACTCTCCCGTCACTGCGTGCACCCGCTGCTAATCCTGTGCACAGGTGTGTTTTTTTTATTTACGCTTGAATCATCCAGGAAGTTTTTAGAGCACTAATTAAAGTAATTTCGCCAAGCGTTCATTGCTGTACCAGGTGATCGCCCATTTTATATTGCACAGGCAATGCCACTGTGGTTTTCTCATTTGAACACAATTTGCGAGATTTCGGCTAAATATTGCTGGAGAGATGAAGCGTTTGTGTTCATTTAACAGCTGCACCATGCTTGATTTCGAATGTGCAAGTTGGTAGTCCATCCACTTGAAATAGCTAAATTACAACGCTGCAGTTTTTGCCTGCGTGATTGCGCATGTGAAGATCCGCAAAACCGCTATGCCTTGCGCTGGGCAGCAATTTTTACCGTGGGCTGTGCACAGTAAAAGTATGTGATGCATGAATCTGGCCTGTGTCTCCTCCACGTTCGTGCAGACTAAAAGAGGTTGTCTCTTTTTTTTTCGTGAACATCATCACTGAGTTGCAAATGTCACACTGCACGCATGGCACCTTACACCCCCCCCCCACAGCGACTGTATGAATTATGGTCACGATTCAAAACAATAAGATATTTTTTGTCATATTTTGTCAGGCCTCATTGGATGGTTTCTTGTTTCGTCTTGTTCCATTTGTACAGTTCTGTTGACTCCCATCAGCCTAAACGTAACTGTATAAAAAAGAATGTCCACACATTGTAAATAACCAATTCTCACAAGTGCAAGTCAGAGCATGTGTTGTGCGCGTAGTAATCACCTTTAATCGATGCATCGTTGTATGCCTACTGGACACACTGCACCCTGTCGTACAATGCCGACCTTAATAGGTGCTTGGCAACTCAACAAATCCAATTTTTTTTTTATTTTACGAAGTAAGGCCCACCTAAGTTATAAAGCTCTTTTTCAGAAGCGACCTGGCCACAAATGATAGCCCAACAAAGTGGCTTATCACGTGGAAATGTATAGCAGCCAAATACTCCAAACACGTGTTTCTAAATGTCGAGGGAAAACCGGAGGACCCGGAGAAAAATACACGCGACCACATGGAGAGCATCAAAACTCCAAATATACAGGCGTCAGGGTCGAGATCGAACCCACGACCTCCTGCACATCAGGCGAGGGATTTAACATCTCACCACCGCAGCGCCCCAACAGCACTTACCCCGGCTGTCTGTCACTAAGGTTTAACGTACAACATTTATCAAGCACGTGTGTGTGTGTGTGTGTGCGCGCGCGCGTTTGTCAAGATCTGGACTCGCGCGTGAAGTCCGAAGGGCTGGACTCTCTGCTGCGCCAACTACCGCCCAAATCCACCCCTGGGCCACGGTCCTCCCTCACCCCGGGCCACGCCCCCGGCGTCCACTCCTTCTTCAGCAGCATGTCGGTCTCCACAGTCACCATGCCCGACGGGGTGAGCGCCCGGCGCCATTTTCACTCCGCGTCGCGTCACATTTCGCTCCGCGTATCTCGCGCGTATGAGCGAGGGTGCCTGCTTTCGTGTGTACGCACGCGCACCAAAATTGCACCATCCTGCCTGGTTGAGATGCAATTTCTGCCGATGCCAGTCGTCATCAACTCCAGTCGGACGCACACGTTGACCTGGTCGTCCTATGCACTTAGATGAGAACCCCCACGGTTTTACAATGTCCAGCCAATCTACACATCGCCGGTCACTGTGAGTGGTTTTCACTGCCAGACAGTACTGCACTAAATTTAAAATGATAATGTTCTGTACAGCTTGCAAGGAACAACCGGAGCGCCTTCGTGCGAGAAGAATGCCTCAAATACCACATGTACTTATTATCCTTGTGTGTGCGTGCGTGCGTGAGAGATTTGTTCATTTGTCGAGGAGACGCGCACCAAATGTGCTGCTTGCGAGTCAACAAACCGTGGACCGTGTACAAATGTCCCTCGTAATTCCGCGGAAGTAAATATTTCCGCGTTGAGAGTCTTGTTTAAATTTCATTGCGCGACTCGATAGTTTTTCCAAGTAGCTTTTTTCCAAACAAGTGTCCAATCCATTGTATACAAGGCAGCCCTCACTTATCAGAAACGACGTCTGCCCCAAGTTTCTTGTTGATGTCCTTTGTCGCCGCGCATCCCATGTATGACTACAGAGTTATGGGGCTCTTACAATTCTAAACGTTATTAATTTATCTTCTTACAAAATCACATTTTTACCGTACTTATGAATTAGGTAGCACTGGTATTGTCACTGGTATGAAACTGATGTTTTAAGTTTTTTGCTGCCATATTATACCCTTAGAAACATTGCACTTATTGCTTTGCTTAAGCATTCATGGTATCTCAATATTTTTTTCATTTATTTATCCCGGAAATACTTACTGAACATCAATCGGGTTCTGCATGTGGATATATGGCCAATTCCAAACCATTTTCTTGACCGAATAGGACATTCACATATCTTTGGCAGGCCACACATTCACTTACACGCACAACAGCTACTTCTCTGTCATTGCAAAGAGGTCTTTTGTGGGGACAGAAAGTTACAGAGCTTGCCAAATTTAGAATCACAGTGTTGCCAGGTCAAAAATGTTTCCCTCTCGTACCCGATTAGTGTGGCTAATATACCGTTGGTGATGGATAAGCATCGTTTGCAGGCTTTTTCAACATGATAGGCCTCATGTGTTAATTGGGTTGAATTAAACGAAGTTGCATGTGTCCACAGTCCCACAGGTTCCCCCACCCCTATATTAAACATTGTTTGGCTTCGTGTGCGAGGAAACTGGAGTGTCCAGAGAAAATTCTGGCCTTTGAGGTGACAACGTTTTTAAGGTCTGCACAGATAGGTTAAGAACACCGTTAACTCTACTGCCCAATCCCCAGGCCACCAAATCTATGCAAGCCACCAAACCCTTGGCAGAAAAAAGCGCTGGATCACAGGCGTGCGCCATCACGCCCGGTGGTAAATAGCGTGGCTCCTTCTGGCGTGAAGCGTTGAAGAGTTGTTTACAATAAGAATTCGTGTCAAACGATGATTCATTGACAAAATCACAAATTACAATGAGATGAGAAGGAAGCGGATGTTTAAACTGGCACATCCTGACAATCCACATGTGCTTCGTTTCTCATACTGGCCTGTGGCATTGGAGCTGTTTCGTGCATATTTCCTTATTTCTGTTTACGTCCTGAGAGTAAAGTGTAGGAATTCTACTCATTGTGAGAATGAAAATGTGTAGATGTACTAAAGTCATAAAGCTAACCCTTTTTTTTCATATTTTTAGCTTGGGAAACGGTTATTTGGCAGGATTCCATCAGGTAATTGTGTAAAGTTATTTTTCGCTTGTTAACTTTTCATTTTAGTTTCCGTGAAGTGAATGAAATTAATTGGTAAATTATGCCGGATCCTTATTGCCTTCGCTTTCGTTCACTTAAAATTCAGGAAACATCGTGCCGATACGAAAAACGGAAAGCTGTGTTTATCGGTTTGTTTAGTTAGCGAGGCATTTGTTTAAATGGCTCAACGAGCGCAAGCCCGGACAGCGATTCCACTTCCTCCTCCTTGCCACGTGGTTGCAGTCACCGCACGGGTAGATCACTGCGCTCAAGTACCTGCCCCCTGTTCGTTTTACCGATGGTAATTTGCTTTTTATCGAACGAGAGAGGGCAAGGCAGCCGTGGAGATTTACATCGACCGCATTAACCCCACTCGGGTGCGACTTCTGCTCGTAGTGACGCTTCGCCCCGGCCCTTTAGCAACACGGCAAAGGGGTGGCAAAAGTTGTAATTTAAAGTCCTGACCGTGGGGTCGCGAGCGTATTGTCCCGGAGGACATAAAAGTAGACTCTTGCGGCATGCAGGCGGCACGGCGGACCCAGAACTGTGTTCCTTATGCAAACAGCCATAATATACGATATGCCCATGATTCATGGACAGTAGAAAGAGAGAGGGGGGGGGGGGGGGAAACAAAGTGGAGGGCCTCCACTCCCTCTCCCTTTTTTTTTAAAAGGTAAAAAGGGACAAACGTAACTCACACATGGAGACCAAACGCGGTGGGCGGGCGTGAGCACTCGTTTAAAAGTCGTTTGCGTTCCCTCGTTAATCTAATGCGTGCGCTTGGGTGACGGGTTTATTGGGGGCCCGGACTCTGTAGGGGAGGCAGACATCTGGGCTTGTGATGGCCTTTGCAGGTTTTGGGTTTTCACAGGGAGAGAGATATAAGGGTGAAAAAGAGGCCTGATATGGCAGAGAAAGGAGAGGAGGAGGAGGGACCCCCTGATGATTTACGAGAGAGAAAATGCTTCGAACAAGTCTGCTCGGCTCATTTTTGTTGGTGGAAATTGAAGGAAAAGCTTTTACATTAGCTCAGCACCGTCCCAGTGTATCGTACACCGATGGGTGTGCGGCTGCCATTGCGCGCGGTAGAAGAAAAAAAAAACAAATTGTTCTATGCTCATGTATTGACTGGTTTGTTTTAGCTCGTACATAATGTGAAAACATTAAATCCTGTCTTATTCAGTCCGATCACGTTGGGGTCAACAAATCGTACTAATGGAGTTGCGCGTCGTGCGTGACCTAACGCCGAAGATCCCTGAGTTTTGATCTTCCCCCGAAGCTCATGGTCCACCCTAAACCGCATCCGTACAAAGCATGGCAGATGCAGATACCTGATGCACAAATGGAAAACTCTCCAATGTGCGTTTGTGGTCATCCAGAACAGACCGTACAACATGTAACGATGCGGTACCCGATCCACAAATACAGCGGTACACTCCGCTGCTCCTGACGCGGCTATCCGGCTTGACCACCTGAACGTGAAATTGTAGTCGTTGCTCTGCGTCTACGTTAGCCGTACAAAAGAATAAGTCCTGTGCGCGTTTCGTCCGTTAAGAAGTTGCCGCCTGTCTACGTGGCGTTCTCTCTCTTGCCATCTCCCGTAACGTTTCGGTCTCCTGCATTCTGGCCCTCTCTCAAACACGCTCCGTCCTTCCGCCTCACTGCCTTTCATTTGGCTCTGCCTTCTACTTCATTACCAGGCCGTCAAAACTGCACCCCCCCCCCTCCCTGCCTCCTCACCCCAAAAAAAGAAACGGCACTTAAGCCACGCTATAGTTTGAAAAAAATAGGTTTAACAACGCATGCTAGGATTTGAAAGATGGCAAGCACAGCAATTAAGTAGACTCGCCAGTTTTTTTTTCCCTTTAACCGCACGGCTTTCACTGCTCACAAAGAATCGACCGTTTTAACCATTGCGTTACTGTTGAGCCTTTTTAATGATAAAAAAAAGCATTCAATTTACTTGGATATCTTTCTTAAAAGGGGTTCCATGCTTTTCCCTTTTAGGCATTGTTATGATGGTAATTTGAATGTAAAGCCCTTAACTCGTGTGTCTCTTCTTCTTGACTGATTGATATGAATGGCGACGTGTGTGTGTGTGTGTGTGCTCGCGTAAGTGTATGCATTTGTGAATGTCCGTCTTGCGGCTTCTTGTTTGTGTTAGAGCAGTGGTGATGTTATGGTTTAGAAAACAACTCGCTACAATCCCTGCCCAATAATAGTTGCATAGTGTTGAGATCACTTGCAAGACAGAGGCAGCCGGGCGTGCATGGTAGTATAGGCCCCAGTATTGTTTAGTGTTCCGTATTGGCCTAAATAGGTGATCGCTAACAACAGTTGCTTCGGATGCTCTGCCCTAAAATAGGCACCCGTGTGTGTGTTTGTATGTTCTTTTGCACATCTATACATGTATGTAATTAACGTTCACTCGGCAGTGCAGCAAAGTCGATTGTTGTACTGTACTATGGTCCAACATCTCTGCCGCCCCCCCCTGCCTTCACCAATCTGCACTGACCAGCGCGGTGAACTGTGGTCAAATTACCCACAGAGAGACCCGCATGACGTGGGGGAGCTCCTTAATCCGATAGCGGATCACAACAAAAGCACTTGTAATCGTACAACTGTAAGCCGCGTTATGTAGCTGTTGGCGACGGATTTGCATGTTTTGTGGGCGCGTGTTAACCACCAGACGGTAGAGGAGCGCAAGACCATCATGGGAAGCGACGGGAAGAAGAGGACGGTTTTCAGGAGATACGACCCAAGGAGCGGTGAGACTTTTTCCCGCTCCTCTCGGCCGCTTCGTTTGCTTTGCGGGAATATGCCACAAAAGCCGCTGTCGCCGCCACGCCAATTGGCGCACCGCCACCGTTTGAATTCTAACGCCGTGTTTCCGTTTGCGACAGGGCGGGAGATGGAGCAGCGTGAGGAGGAGGTGGAGACGGGCCCTCTGCGGCGGTGACATCAGTGCCCAGGGCCCAGACCTCCGAACCCTTGGGTCGTATTTCTTGTTGTTTAAAGGAATCCTTGGACAGATGCTGCCACTGGTTGTCGTTGAGCCCTTGTTGTGTCAGTTCACTGCTGGATAAAGGCTTGGCTACGCCGCGTGAGTCACAGCCGTGGTGTGACCATACTTCACCATGCTGGTCAGTGCAGGTTACTCAGCACAGATGTTACCCACGGCTTTGGAATCAAACTTAGGTTGCCGGCTCGTGACAAATACTCGTACAATGTGAGTTTTTTTCTACTTTGTTGTGCTAAGAAAAGTCTCGCTGAGACTTATGTCTCATCCACGTGTACACACTCAAATTTAACGTAAGTAGAAACTCAGAAACACAATTGCTGTCCTGTCACCCGACAGCCACCTTCTGGCCATGTTGTTGTGTGTTGCACAACATCATCTCTGTGTGAGCCACCAACTCTTTGTAGATTGCTGCACCCAACAAAACCTCGTTCAGTAACAAGACTGGAGCAGTAGGTAACAACACCGACTGTATGGTTCTTTGTGCGAGTTATATTTAATTTGCGTACGGAAATAATTGTACTGGTCGAGTGCTTCCATGGCCCCACCAAAATACACTACAACATTTTAATTTTACAATTATTTACAGCCCCCTCATCACTCTACCGCTGGATGTAGTCATCTCCACACCTTGTCGGTCATGGAGGTTGTTTGACTGTACTTCGCTTTGCTTGGTCAGTGCTGGGTGGCTAACAGGAGGCCACCCCAGACCAGTTGAGATGCCGCTTGCCGTGAATCGATCCAAGGTGGTACGGTTCCTAGTACAGTGCAGCATCCACCGCGACACCGCCACAACTAAAAATGTCAACATTTTTACGTTAGTAACGCACAGTGTGTGTGCGCGCGCATGCGCAACCAACCAGCCAAATGCAAAAACCGCCACCGCTTGCGCTTTTTGTGGCTACAAAAGATCGTGAAGCCTTGCCCTGACATCAGGTGGGGGGGGGGGGGGGGGTGGGGGGGCGCTTTGCGTTAATGTCTTTGGGAGAGAAAACCGCTTTCAAATGCACGGACAACGCGTAGACCCCACTTCCCCGCCCCCTGCCTGCCTGCCTGCTGCCGCTCCTATACTCTCTCTTTATGGCTACTCTCTTTTTTTCTTCCCCTGCCCCCCCTTGGCAAAATGAACCCACTCTCTCCTCCTCTCCACACTCCTGTGGTTCCCACTCTACCCTCTTTCTATATCCTCCCTCTCCCTCCCGAACTCCGCCTTAAATAATCCCGGTAACGTGACAAGCTCGTAACTTCTCGGTAAAGTAAAAAAAAAGAAGAAAATTTTTATTTATGTTGCCAAGTCGGCATCAAAGAGTATTAGTTTAAATATTTATGTTTCAGCAAAGTTTAAAGAAAATAGATCCTGTTGTATTGCACCAGCGGCCAATAAATCTTTGTCATCGCCAGCCATTCTCCATCCGCTGCTGGCTTGAAAGCATGCAGTCTCTCACCGGGTTGTGTGCCACAGCAATCCGTCTTGTTCCAGCGTGGGTCCCAATGTCATCGCTCCATCTCTCCGACAAATAATTACCGATCCTCAGGGAGACTGTCTGCTTGCTGCTTGTGTTGTTTCTGCTGTGTAGTGGAAAAAAATAAAAAAATAACTAAATGTACTGTGTGTACCCAGAAACGCCTCCCTTTTGAGTCTCGCGACCGTTTTGACGAGAGAATCGCTTGCGTGCTAGGTGAGTCATGCACAAACGCTCTGTGCAGAAGGATGCAAGAATCCGTTACTGGACTACCATGTCTCGGGCCAACTCCCAGCCGATGCTTACAGCGAGCTTCATGGTATTCCCAGACACGCTTTCTTGTGCCTACGGTACTGGCCAGGCTCAGAAACCTGCTCGGCTTCCAAGATACAACAAGATGGGCCACATCGCAGACAATTTGAGTATTAACAAGACCCCCCATTTTTATGTATATGCATAACTGATTTATGTACACACGGGGCTTCATCAGTGATGAAGCATGGTTGGCAAGTGGCCTGGTATAAGGAATGAAATGGGGGGGGGTGGGGGGCGGGGACGAGTGCCCTATACAATGCCCCCACCTCTTCATAGCGGAACTATGCGCCCCAGGTGCAGTTGCACCGCCTGCACACTCGGGAGCTGTACCCATTGGATGGGAATGACGCTGGGTTGGGCCCTCGGCCAAATCCATCTCCGCAAGGACGGATGGATAATTCCGGGAGCAAAGGGGCGGAGGGGGGGGGACTATTTTGGCCACCGATGCAGACGTGCCCCGACGGCTCTCGCAAGGCACCGGGCGCGAGTCGGTAGTAGCGCAGGGGATGGAGTTTAAATTGAATGATTCGAATCTAGTTTAAAATGTTACGTTCGTCGAGTGCCCTCACTCAAGGGACTTGACGTGGTTTAAAACACGGTGGAAATACACCCGAGTAAGATGTCAGTGGCGTGCTACAAGGATTGAGGAATGAGTGACGTGCGCGATCGAGGCGTACTTGGGGATCACAAAAGGGCTACAGGGGAGGGACGGGAAGGAGTGGAGGGGCGAGGGAAAGGAAGAGAATGGACAATAGAGAAGAGGTAGACGCTGTGAGGGATGTATAATTGTATGTTTACAACTTTTTTTTAAATCCCAAATATTCTCAGCAAGCAGCCGTCTCGTGCGGTTCATCGCGGGTTGGGTGGACTCTGCGCTCTATGTTATTTATATTTTTTAGAATGCATCTACCGCGTCAAGCGAGGGAAACCTGTATCTGCTGATGAGCGGTGGAGGAGGAATGGTAGGGAGTGGGGTCTGTAGGGGGGGGGGGGGGTGGCGGCGTTGGGGGGGAAAGCAAAGAGGAGACGGCGGGCGGCAGACGGACGCCGCTTTAATTAAAGCGCTCGGCAATTAGCGCGGAGAGAAGGCCGGCCGCTGCCCGTACAGATCACGTTAAAGGTCTCCCAAGCGCGCCCGCCTCCGCCGAAAGGGATATTATGAGTGCGGGTCATTGCAGGGTACGCCGTGCTGTGCTCGGGCGGTGGGGCAACGGGGTTCGGGAGTAAAGGGAGGTGGGAGTGGAGCAGAAAGGAAGAGATGGGAGTTGGGGTAGAGCGTCTGATGACGCGGGGGTGCTGGGATCGGGGCCAGTCGTCCATGGTTTCCTGCAAAGGACTGTCACAGCAATTAAAGGCGCGCAGTGTAATCAGCTAGGGGAGCTGTGGCAGGTCCGGCTTATAGCGGCGAAGCCCATGTAGGCCATCGCTTTTGGAGGCTAGGGTTGGTGGATCACGCAAATAGTTGCGCAACTCCCACCCCCGAACTCGCTTGGCTGCGGCGTGGTCAGGGAAAGGACGAAGCAGTAGAGCAAGTGGGTTCGTCAATCCGACTCTGCGGAACTTTGCAGAGTTGCCCCCGCCTTCGTTACGCATGGTTTCCCAAGGGTAGGCTTTACACCTCCAGTTTTACCTCCCACGCACCAAGCGGTGAAGTATGGTCAGATAACCCGGCCCCGTGACCCACAAAGGGGAATGGGGAGGCCCTCGTTCAGCGGCGGTGGGATTCTCAAAGAGATCTGCCTGCACGTGTCCACGTGCCGATTCGGTCAAGATCATCCACGCGCTCGTTCGTGGCAATGGCCAGACATCCCAAATGGCAGGAGATCCTGTTTGGATTTGAAATTCTGTGAGACTTTGCCTTGGTAAATAAAATAAAGCAAAACAACTAAATATTAAACTACATTTTTATTTCACCAGGTAAGGCCCACCGAGAAATATAGCTCTTTTTAAGCAGCGACCTGGCCACAAATGATACTTCAACGAAGTGGCTTATCACGTGGAAATGAATAGCAGGCAATTACTCGAAACGCACGTTTCGCGATGTGGAGGGAAAACCCCGGAGGATCCGGAGAAAAGTCCACGCGACCACAGGGCGAGAGACCGTGCAAACTCCAAATATACAGGAGGCGTCAGGGTTGTGATGAAACCGACGAGCTCCTGCATACTAGGCGATGGAGATAACATCTCTTCCCGCACCCCCTCGAACCAACTTCCACCACCATGGACCCTTCGCATCCCTCCCTCCCAACAACCCAACACAACCCTCCAACCCCCCCCCCCCCCCCCCCCTTCTTCCCCACCACCTTTTCCTATTTGTCAGGGACGCCTTTTAAAATGATGGCAAACAAACACCGTCCTCGGTACTCGACACAAATCACGAGAAGGAAAACAAACTTCTCTCCGGTTGTTGTCGATTCATCAGCGTCACCGCCACCTGGGGGAGCGGGGGCGGGGGGGCTCGACGAGACGGGGGTCTCTAAACACGAGCGCCTTCATTGGCTTCGCTCGAGTGAGTTCCTCCCGCTCCCTGTCATAATAATAAACGAGATCTCTTCCCCGCTACTGTTTAACCGTATTCTCTGAATTATAAAAAACGCGCCGAAAACGTTTAGACCACCACCCACCCGACATCATCACGCGCGCGGACGGTATTCAGAAAGTTCTAATGAAGCTGGTCGCGCGCACAAAGACACAGCCAAAGATTCCCACCGCCAGCCTCCCCGTATAGCCTTCAACAGACTTTTTGGGGGCAAGTGCTGTTAGCGAGCAGCACCTATGAAGACTAGCCGCCTTCATCTCTCTTAAGTGGAAATGTTGACGCATTGTACCAGGTACTAATTTGGAGGCTGAGTCGACCTAGGGGAGGTCCAGGACCGGTTCAGACAACCGTCACTGATGTTGGGTTGCGCACCGTAGCGCTAACCGCTAACGCTCCGGCACGCTCGTGCACACAGTGACGTACGCAACCGACCGGATTGTGAGACGCACCGTTAATGTTCGCAGCTTGTAATCCAGAGAATACGGCAAACTAAGCGACCGGGATGGCATTCACTTCTCATGGGGATCGGCTTGGGCGGAACCGTAAGCCACCTCCAACAACCTGCGGTGGTCACCTCAATTCGAGCTCTACACTGGCTGATGATCTGCTTAGCTTCCGAGATTGGACGAGATCGCGCTCATTCCGGGTGATTTTGTGGACTCTACGGCTCTGTTAATAATGACAAACACTGCCTTATTAGTTTAACACGTAGTAGGCTTTCGCGACCAATATCATCCATAATACAGATTTTTTTGGGTATCACGTAAACTTTTCAAATGTGTCTTAAAACCTGCAACCATCCGACACAGCCAAATAGTAAGGTTTGTCACGTAAACAGAACATGCCAATTCATGGCTAGTACAGCACACCGGTGTGTTTGGAGAGCCAAGCCACAACATTTAGAATCTGATTACGACGTTTCGCCAGTAATTACAACTAGCTTCATCAGGCGACAACCAGATTTGTGGAGATGTTCTCCTGTTTCGCTCTTCTTGCGCGAAGTTACAGTAGCCTGGAAAGTCACACTGGGTCGGAAGACACATTTTTTTCAGGAGGGTACTGTATGCATGTTGGACTGCTTTCGCACCGTACGTAGCCAACCGAGCTAATCGAAGCTGCCACATTGGTGATGTGGCCAATTCCATTCACGAGAGGCTTGGCTCCGCGTGGGGAGGAGAAAAACCGGGGAACCCGGAGACAACCCAGCACCGCAAAGTACTACGAGGGGGGTAACGCTCAAAGCTCCACACAGATGGGTCTCACGAATCCATTGCTGTGCCGCCATCTCACGGCCACATTGCAGCACCAAGCCCACGTACAAACACGTGGTCTTTACCAGGGAGTCTCTCGCCAAAATACTGACCGGGTTCGAACCTGACCAGCTGCTGAGCTTACGAGATCGAACGCGAGTGGCCGCTCTCCGTCCGGGCGAATTGTTGACTCCGCATCTTTGGCGGGGGCCGTTTTCCGCGACAAGGAACGCGAATTATGTTCGGAGGGTGACTCTGATAGCAGCACGAAGAAACTGGAAGAATTTTTTTTTTTTAAATCGCGCCAACAATTTAAGCGGGCAGATGTTCCGTGCGTGCGGTTAACAACGAGGGCCAACAGAAGCGGAGCACGTGGATTGAAGGGAGAGAGAGCAACAAAACTCAAGTTCGAGACATCGTCTCAATGGCTAACACAACTAAGCGGGATTGGAGAGGACGCCTTGCTAAGAGGGGACGAGAATGTGTGCGAGAGAGAGAGAGAGAACGTCGACCGCGGAGATGGAGCGATGAGAGTGAGCTCTTGTGCAGGCGCTAGATGGAGTGTCGTGATTTGCAAGACGCTGTATTTTACGAGACTCAATTCATCTAGCAGTGGAGACATCATGGCTGCTGCTGCTGTTGTGGTGTCCCTGATCAAGATGCTGCTGCTGCAAATGAGCACACAAGTCGATTTCAATAAACGTGGTCAACACACGTTTAGCACCTCAACTCCTGCCACCTACGATCGACCTTCCCCACTCCCCCCCCCCCACTACCTCCCTCCCTCGCCCCCCAGACCCCCTGCGCTGCTGGGGGGGGGGGTGCTGTGGACCAAGCTACAGGTGACGAGGCCACGTTGTCAGTGAGGTTCGCCTTCACGCCCACCCGACAACACTTTGACTGATTTCCCTTGTTCACGAGGCGGCGCGAGTAGAAGAAGCCCATTGAAATTCAAGGTCTTTAATTTGCAAGGGAGGTCTGGGAATGTAGAGCCCACGTAGGGACACGGGCTGATTAAAGAAGGCACAAAAAAGCACGCGCTGGGCACTGAAGTGGAGGAGCATTTTGGGTAGTTAAATCATAATTTTATAAAATTCGACATCAGGTCCGTATGTTCACACGTATGCCGTATATGGAATATCGTTAAGACTAAACGACCCACTGGCCTATCGGTTTGATTTGAATCAATGCTAATTTATTTATTTAAGCGTGCAACTGATGAGCCCGTGCAGGACAAACCCGCTTCCAGAGTTTGCGTGAAGGGGATCTAAGAAGTCGTTCCGTGAAGTGGGCACCCATCAGAGAGCGTCCTCAGACACGGACACAAGGTGGTGCAATGCTTTCTGCGAGAGTTACAAACAGAAATGGAGTGTGGTGCGGGCTGGCGAGTGGGGGGGGGCGGGCAAGACAACAGGAGTAGAGACGTAGACATTGAGTCGCCCGGGGTAAAGTGCCCCCCCCCCGCCACCCACTCCACTCTTCCCAGCTTCTGCGGCGCCGGCACCGCCCCACCACTTCCACAACTATCTTCGCTTCCAACAATTCGGACCGGCTACCCATTCGAGCGCCCCCCCCCCACTACCCCTAACCACCCCCCTCCCCCCTACGTCTCCCACCCCGACCCCTTGCTACTGGCACCCCTTTTGTCGTGTTCCTCGGTGTAATCGCACGCATACAAGAATACGTGCGGCAGTACATCAGGCTCATTGCTGCTGTATCTTCACGAGCACAGAGGCGAGCAGACGGGGCGGCGGAGGGAAGGCAAAGCGGAGCCAGCGGCGGTTGCAATGGCCCCGACTACAGAGGCGGATTTACTTTATTGGATTATCCGGGACGCGCGCCACGACCCTAATGAGTCAAAATTTAAGCGACCTCCTGCGTCAAGCCAGGAGCCTCGGAGCGGGACACGTGGGGGGGGGGGGGGGGGGGAGGTGAAGCGGGAAAGGAGCGGGCGAGACGGGGAATGTTTTATTGTCCAGAAAATGTGAGCTGGGGATGGCAGCGGCATGGTGGGGGGGGGGGGGGGGGGGGGGGTACAGGAGGAGAGGAGGGCACCCAAACCGTGCCATGCATGGTTTGGGTGTTTGTTGAGTTGCAATATTCGCGCAACATCCATGCGCCCCGCTAGCAGATGCCTTGGTGTCTCGTACAAATAACGACTGCCCTTTCAATCGATCCACCGCTGGATGAAAGCATCCCCACAACGGACACGGTGTGTGGCGGAGGGCGCTGTGTGACTATACTTCACCACGCGGGTCTATGCGGGCTGCTTGGTCTAGTTCAAGTGCTCGGCACCGCGTCGGTTATCAACTCGTTCCTGATGTTAGTCATGGTCGCCGGATCCCCCTAGGTCAGGGGGTCGGCATCCTGCGTCTCCCGAGTCGCGTGCGGCTCTTTAACGACTGCTTCGTGACATAATTGCATTAAGGACCCACCGTCTCGTATTCACATCGCATTGTGGCTCTTCAAATATTGAGGGTTCATTTTTTTGTTACCACCGAATTGGAAGAAGAAAATAGCTCTTCTTGTTATTTTGGTTGCCGATCGCCTGTCCTAGGTCAATGCGCGAACCGTTGATTCACCCAGGAACGTCTCACCCGGTTTCAAGATTCGTTGGTGGCGGAGTGACAGCAGTCACATGAGACGTAGCACGCCCTAAAGCACGCCCGACGTGGAGATGGAGCGACGGAATCGGCGCATGTGAAGGAGGTGACAACGGAATTGTTCGATCGTGACGGCTTGGGAAGGACATCATCCAGCAGGGGATTTATCATGCCTGATGATGATGATGATGAAACCCTGGATACTGTATACGAGTAGCAACAGAGCGACTGTCTCAGCGAAGCGCACTCTCGGCTTTTCAAGATTCCCGGTGAATTGTGTGGCCTTACAGATGAATTGTTGGCCTTACAGATGAATTGTGTGGCCTTACAGATGAATTGTGTGGCCTTACAGATACATTGTGTGGCCATACAGATGAATTGTGTGGCCTTACATATGAATTGTGTGGCCTTACAGATGAAATGTGTGGCCTTACAGATTAATTGTGTGGCCTTACAGATTAATTGTGTGGCCTTACAGATGAATTGTGTGGCCTTACAGATGAATTGTGTGGCCTTACAGATTAATTGTGTGGCCTTACAGATGAATTGTGTGGCCTTACAGATTAATTGTGTGGCCTTACAGATGAAATGTGTGGCCTTACAGATGAAATGTGTGGCCTTACAGATGAAATGTGTGGCCTTACAGATGAATTGTGTGGCCTCACAGATTAATTGTGTGGCCTTACAGATTAAATGTGTGGTCTTACAGATGAATTGTGTGGCCTTACAGATAAATTTCCGGGCAGACGTTCGCCTGTTTCAGCATGCTCAGGGTGTAGGGCGTTGGTGATGTTGAGAGTCAGTTTATTGGTTATTGGCGGTGATTGTGATGGTGGTCGTGGTAGTAGGTATTTGTATTGGTAGTAGGCGGTGAGTTTGGTGGTGGTGGTGATAGTCGTTATCGTGGTAATGGTTGCTGTTGTAATACGTGGTGTGCTGAGGGTTGGTGTCGTAGTAGGTGATTGTGTTGATGGTGGGTGTGAGTTAGCTGATAGTGGTTCGAATCGTGTTCGGTGGTCGACTGGCGGCGGTGGTGGTAGTGAGTGTTGTGGTAGGGTTGGTGCTGCTGTTGATGATAGCGATGTGTTTGGTTGTGGTGGTGAGCGTCGTGGTGGCGGTTGTTGTCGATGACGACGCTCGCTCGGTATGAGTTGCGAGTCGACAGTGGCGACAGTCGTCGTCGCCGCGGTTGGCGATTGCAAAGATGGAACGGGGGGTGGGTGTGCGTGTGGGTGGGTGGATGTGCGTGTGGGTGGATGGGACGGGTGTGCGTGTGGGTGTGCGTGTGTGCGGGTGGGTGCGCGTGTGGGTGTGTGCGTGTGGGTGGGTGGGTGGGTGGATTTGCGTGTGGGTGTGCGTGTGGGTGGGTGTGGGTGTGGGTGGGTGCGCGTGTGGGTGTGTGCGTGTGGGTGGGTTTGCGTGTGGGTGTGCGTGTGAGTGGGTGGGTGTGCGTGTGGGTGTGCGTATGTGCGTATGGGTGGGTGGGTGTGCGTGTGGGTGGGTGTGCATGTGGGTGGGTGTGCGTGTGGGTGGGTGGGTGGGTTTGCGTGTGGGTGTGCATGTGTGCGTGTGGGTGGGTGTGCGTGTGGGTGGGTGTGTGCGTGTGGGTGGGTGGGTTTGCGTGTGGGTGTGCGTGTGTGCGTGTGGGTGGGTGGGTGTGCGTGTGTGCGGGTGGTTGCGCGTATGGGTGTGTACGTGTGGGTGGGTTTGCGTGTGCGTGTGGGTGGGTGTGCGTGTGGGTGTGCGTGTGTGCGTGTGGGTGGGTGGGTGTGCGTGTGGGTGTGTGGGTGTGCGTGTGGGTGGGTGTGCGTGTGTGCGATGTGGGTAGGTGTGCGTGTGGGTGTGCGTGTGGGTGTGGGTAGGTGGGTGACAACGGGGGGCTCGTGGCAAGAATCGTTGGGTGGTGGTGGGGGGGGGCGTAGCAGTTGGGAGGTAGAGGGTGGGGGGGGGTAGAGGGTGGGGGGTAGAGGGTGGGGGGTAGATGGTAGAGGGTGGGGGGTTGAGGGTAGGGGATAGAAGGTGGGGGTAGAGGGTGGGGGGTAGAGGGTGGGGGGGCCGTAGCAGTTGGGGGGGTAGATGGTGGGCGGTAGAGCTTGGGGGGGTAGAGCTTGGGGGGGGTAGAGGGTGGGGGGTAGGGGGTGGGGGGTAGAGGGTGGGGGGTAGAGGGTGGGGGGTAGAGGGTGGGGGGTAGAGGGTGGGGGATAGAGGGTGGGGGGTAGAGGGTGGGGGGTAGAGGGTGGGGGGTACATGGTGGGGGGTAGAGCATGGGGGGGTAGAGGGTGGGGGGGTAGAGGGTTGGGGGATAGAGGGTGGGGGGTAGAGGGTGGGGGGGTACATGGTGGGGGATAGAGGGTGGGGGGTAGAGGGTGGGGGGTAGAGGGTGGGGAGTAGAGGGTGGGGGGTAGATGGTGGGGGATAGAGGGTGGGGGATAGAGGGTGGGGGGTAGATGGTGGGGGGTAGAAGGTGGGGGGGTAGAGGATACAAACGGAAGCGCCCGTCCAATCACGCGCTCCGACGGGGACGGGGTACACCACTGCGCGCTCTATAAGAGATCGCGCGCGCGCTCCCTCGTCCCGACACAAGGCACCACCCGAGTGAGACATCCTTCTCGAGAGACAACGCAGAGGGACAGAGACGACGGGCAGAGAGACACGGTGTCAGCTGTTACCACCCACCTCCCCGACCCCTCCACACACACGTGCACAAATCTACACATAATCAGAGTCTCCCTTATTGCATAACCACACGGGGAAAATAATCGCGTATACACGTCCATTGCATTCATTTCACGGTGCATTGTACCGCTGTGGTCAGTGTGTGAACGTATAGACAAGTATTATACATTCAGACAATCAACAACAGCAAGAATACCACCACCACCACCAACAGCAGCATCACCAACATTGACAGCAGCACAATCAGCAACGCTCTCAGCATCAGCAGCAAAAGCAGGCGCAGGCTGTAGCCCGGGTGAGGAGGCGAACTCGGCGTCAGAGAGGGACGAACAGCAGCGGCAGCAGCAGCAGCAGCAGGAGGAGGAGGAAGAGAAGGAGGCGATGTCTGGAGGCGCGGAGGTGCCGGGCGGGGACGCGGCGCAGGCGGGGCTGGCGGGGCTCCTCGCCTCGCTTCCCGGGGTCCCACCGAGTCCCGTGCGGGACCTGCGCGCGCGGTACACCAAGGTGCGTGAGAGTGCGTGAGACATACAGCAGGGTGAGTGAGTGAGTGAGCCATTCAGCAGGGTGCGTGAGCGAGTGCGTGAGTAAGTGAGTGAGTGAGCCATACCGCAAGGTGCGTGAGCGAGCGAGTGAATGAATGAGTGAATGAGTGAGTGAGCCATTCAGCATGGTGCGTAAGAGAGTGAGTGAGTGAATGAGTGAGTGAATGAGTGAGTGAATGAGTGAGCGAGCCATTCAGCAGGGTGCGTGAGCGAGCGAGTGAATGAGTGAGTAAATGAGTGAGTGAGCCATTCAGCATGGTGCGTGAGCGAGTGAGTGAGTGAATGAGTGAGTAAGCCATTCAGCATGGTGCGTGAGTGAGTGAATGAGTGAGTGAATGAGTGAGTGAATGAGTGAGTGAGCCATTTAGCAGGGTGCGTGAGTGAGTGAGCCATACAGAAATGTGCGTGAGTGAGTGAGTGAGAGAGCGAGTGAGCGAGTGAGTGAATGAGTGAGTGAGTCATTCAGCAGGGTGCGTGAGTGAGTGAGCCATTCAGCAGGGTGCGTGAGTGAGTGAGTGAGCCATACAGAAATGTGCGATGAGTGAGTGAGTGAGCCATTCAGCAGGGTGCGTGAGCGAGTGAGTGAGTGAGCGAGTGAGTGAGTGAGCCATTCAGCATGGTGCGTGAACGAGTGAGTGAGCGAATGAGTGAGTGAATGAGTGAGTGAATGAGTGAGTGAGCCATTCAGCAGGGTGCGTGAGCGAGTGAGTGAGTGAGTGAATGAGTGAGTGAGCCATTCAGCATGGTGCGTGAGCGAGTGAGTGAGTGAATGAGTGAGTGAGCCATTCAGCAGGGTGCGTGAGTGAGTGAGCCATACAGAAATGTGCGTGAGTGAGTGAGTGAGCCATTCAGCATGGTGCGTGAGTGAGTGAGTGAGCGAGTGAGCGAGTGAGTGAATGAGTGAGTGAGTCATTCAGTAGGGTGCGTGAGTGAGTGAGCCATTCAGCAGGGTGCGTGAGTGAGTGAGTGAGCCATACAGAAATGTGCGATGAGTGAGTGAGTGAGCCATTCAGCATGGTGCGTGAGCGAGTGAGTGAGTGAATGAGTGAGTGAGCCATTCAGCAGGGTGCGTGAGTGAGTGAGCCATACAGAAATGTGCGTGAGTGAGTGAGTGAGCCATTCAGCAGGGTGCGTGAGCGAGTGAGTGAGTGAGCGAGTGAGCGAGTGAGCGAGTGAGTGAGTGAGTCATTCAGCAGGGTGCGTGAGTGAGTGAGCCATTCAACAGGGTGCGTGAGTGAGTGAGCCATACAGAAATGTGCGATGAGTGAGTGAGTGAGCCATTCAGCAGGGTGCGTGAGCGAGTGAGTGAGTGAGCCATAACGCAAGGAGAGTGAGTGATGCAGCGCCACGCGCGAGTGACAGTGCGCGCAATGGCGTAGCTATTGAGTGCGCAGGCGGTGCAACTGCACATGTGCTGCATGGGCCAGAGGGGCCTAGGCGCGCGGAGCTACGAAGATGAAGGGGGAGATCATTGGATGAAGGGGGGGGGGGACATTTCATTCCTGGCAGCAGGGCCCATGCCGATCACGTTACGCCACTGAATGTGCGCGCGAGTGGGTTGAGATGCTGTCGTGAGCGCGTGAGTCAGTGTGAGTGTGTGAGTGTGTGTGAGTGTGTGAGTGTGGGTGTGTGAGTGTGTGAGTGTGTGAGTGAGTGTGGGTGAGTGTGTGTGTGAGTGTGGGTGTGTGTGAGTGAGTGAGTGAGTGTGGGTGTGTGAGTGTGTGAGGGTGTGAGTGTGTGGGTGTGTGAGTGTGTGTGGGTGTGTGAGTGAGTCAGTGTGGGTGTGTAAGTGAGTGAGTGTGGGTGTGTGGGTGTGTGAGTGAGTGAGTGTGTGAGTGTGGGTGTGTGAGTGAGTGTGGGTGTGTGTGTGAGTGTGGGTGTGTGTGAGTGTGGGTGTGTGAGTGAGTGTGGGTATGTGAGTGAGCGTGTGAGTGCGGGTGTGTGAGTGTGTGAGTGTGTGTGTGTGAGTGTGTGAGTGAGTGAGTGTGGGTGTGTGAGTGAGTGTGTGTGTGTGTGAGTGTGGGTGTGTGTGAGTGTGGGTGTGTGAGTGAGTGTGAGTGAGTGAGTGTGGGTATGTGAGTGAGCGTGTGAGTGCGGGTGTGTGAGTGTGTGAGTGTGTGTGGGGGTGTGTGAGTGAGTGTGTGAGCGATACCGCAATGCAAAGCTAATTGTGGATTCACACACACACACCCCAAAGGCGCGTGCGTGAGAGAGTGCGTGAGAAGGCGTGAGAGAGAGAGAGTCGATGGGCCGAGGTAGGTGAGTGCGTGATCTCTACTGCACTTACACCACTTACACCCAGCCAAACAAATTACGTTGGTGGTGATGCTGCTGCTGCTTTTGCTGCGGTGCGCAAAAACAATTAGCGGAATAAACAAAAACAACGCGACGCATTCGCCAATCGCACCGCGTGCGGCATTAAAAAAAATCAGAATCATAGGTGACGTTTCGGGCAACGGCCCCTTCTTCACAGGTGCGTGAGAGATCTTCTTAAGGCCAATCAGGTCGTGCCCTAAATAATGCGGGTGGTGGATCGTGATCCACCGGGGGGAGGAGGGGAGTGCGTCGGTCTCTCCGCATTGCGTGGGTCTCTCTTCGGCTCGGAGCGCGTGGCGTGCGTGAGCGTCCCGCGTGATCACCACGCTTCCATCCAGCGCCGGATGATCCTGGTAGCACAAGTAGCTACACGTGTAGTAGCTACGCATGCAGTAGTAGCTACGGGCCCCGCACTTTCAAGGGTCCCGCGCTAAACGCTTTCAAGCTGTCAATTCCGGTTCAGTGATTCTGCACTTGCTCTATTACTATAGTACTATACCGCCTTTCAACTTTTAACGACGACTGGGTGTTTAAGGTTAGCGATTTGTCATGTTATCTGGCTGTATAGCAAATAAAAAAATACAATTGCTTTACTTTGCAAGTAAAAAAATGGTGTTTTAATATTAATATTAATGTTTATTTATTTATTTAAGTGCCCCTTTATAACATGTGCTACAGGCCCCGCACTAGCTTCATCCGGCACTGATTCCATGGTAGCGGCTTCGAGGGTAGAAGGCAGTGTGGGTTCTTAATCTTTACCGCAACCTTGCACCCCTTTGGTTCTCAATCGTTTGAAACGAAGTAGAATCTTAAATAAATGCGTCGGGTTTCATGAAACAGTGGCAGTTGTACTGAGCAGTTGCACTGCTTAATTTGTGTTTCCGATTATTTACCAATCTTAAAAAAAAAAATCTGGCCACGTCCCGCACCCCCATGGAGGGGGAACGTCCACCTCCGGGTGAAAAACCACCGGAATCAGGGGTGACGGACTCTCGTGGTGAACGAAACGTTACATACACCGGCCACAGCAGCGCGACTGTGACCAGGCAACCCACACACACCTTGGGCCGTAAAGCGAACGACTGGGGTCCGCGATCTCCGCACTGGGGGAGTCACGAAAGGACGCACGCTGTCACGCGAAGCCCCGTTGTATATGTCGAGCCGTGTACAACAGCCCCGGCGAGCAGACATCGACGTTGGCACTTAGCGCGTGAACGTACGCGAAGATTAGACGATAATGTGTTATGGTGTTTGCGTGCGAATGTCGACGTGTCAACGTCGTTGTCTCTTAATGGAAATGAGCGGATGTGTTCGCGTTGACCACACGCGCACTGGATTTAGGCTAATTGTCCTTCGCCCACAACCTCCGATTAGCACGGCTGGTTACGTGCGGTGCGAAAGAAGTCCAACATACATACAATTACCCAGCCGTTCGGTCGGGCCTCGAGTGGGAATGATGTGTGTGTGTGTGTGTGAGTTCACTGCCTGTGGGTTCACAGCGCGTGTGCGCGTGTATGTACGAGTTCACTTGTGGGGAGCGGTGGTGCAGCGGTCAGGGCTACACTGCGCTAAGAACCCCGCGTCCCGAGTTCGATTCCCGCTCACGGCCAACACCAGTGACGATTATCTGAACCGGTCCCGGGCCTCCCCTAGGTCGACTCAGCCTCAAATGAGTACCTAGTGCGGTGTGTAAACATCGTCACTTGGGGAGGCAAAGGCGGCCGGGCGTGGTGCTGGCCACCCACACCTCCTCGTGTGGCGTGCCGGCCTTCATAGGTGCTCGCTAACAGCACGTGCCCCAAAAATCTGTTAAGGCTATACGGGGAAATATTTGCATTTGAGTTCACGTGTGTGTGTATATGTTAAATGTATACACACCCCAATTTGTACACACGTGAATATATAAGCGAATGAACCTTAATAGGTGCTCGTTAACAAACTAGATATCTATACCCCGATATTCGAGAATACCATATGGCTAGGTATAGCAATTAATAGTTTAATTTAATGGTGAACGTCATCAGCATCAGTTCGTGCGTGAACATGGCGTGGGTTTCCTTTAGGTCGGCTCAGCCTTAAACACACAACTGAACAACAACAACAAAACTGTGTTGCTCCGAGAGATTTGGTCCCACCTAGCATGCAATCTGCTCGCAATTAACACGCACACTCTGGCGGCAGCCACAATTACAAAGAGGAACACTCACAACAACATTACGTTGCACAGGGAAATGTTTATTTGCACGTATGTTGAACTTCTTTCGCACCCTACGTAGGCAACCGCGATAATCGGAGTTGCGAGGGGCTGGACAACAAGCTAAACACACACAAGCAGGGGAAGGACAACAAATTAAACACACACACAAGCAAGCGCGGTGCCGCAGTGTTGCACGATTCGACCCGGCCACATGAGTTCGTTCGAAGCTTGCCAATGGCTCACGTCAGTGGCGGCGAGCGATAGCTTAGCGGGTTGTGCCGCCCCCCCAACCACCACCAAATCCATGCCTCTTCGACCAGCGATGACCAGCGTGGTGAAGTATGGTAACCCCCCCCCCCCACCTCCTCCCCCCTGAATCGGTCTAACGGACATGTCCATCATTAGATTTGCAATGACAAGCTAGGAAACAATGACTGAACTTGCACACG